TGTCAGTGGGCCTGGTCCTTCTCAGTACTGGCCTTTCCGCTTGCTCCTTCCCGGTAACACGGGCAAAAGATACACCCTTGTGCAAATATGTTTTGCCCGTCGCTCTTTCCCAAGGTTCAAAAAGACACAGAGCAGCAGGAAAGAGGAGGATGCGAAAAGAAGTCGGTGGCTCTTGCCAAGCGTGGTTTGCCTGTTCACTATAACTTATGGGAAGAATAATCACTTCCTTGGACGAATGCTGCGCTCGAAACGAAAAGACAAAACACATTTGGAAACCGATATATCGAGACCCGATATTGGACGGGAGCACAGGACATGCACAGTAAAGACGCCAGTGTCTCTTTCGCCTCCGACCAATTGCCTGCAAGCACACCATAAGCCAGCCACCTGGAGACGCACGTCTGCAATTCTTTCCCCCCGAGTCTCCTGTTTTCTATTTCCTATTTCCTAGTCCTTATTTCTTATTTCTTATCTTATTTCCTTGCTCTTCCTGTTACTCCACTTCCGAATGCTAAAGGTGTAGAAGATCGATGTAGCAGGAGGTGCAATATAAACAGCGCAGCATGAGCTGGCACACGCGCGGGCTTTTTACCTTGCAGGTCCGATACTCTCGGGCCTAGTTTTGAATGGGCTACTTCGTACACCCTGGGCCCTTTGGCCTGGCATGCTGCAAGGTCTCTCTGGGGCCATCCAACCGACGACCCGTTTTCCCTTTTGTCACGGCTCCCGCTTCACTTTTACTCTGGCTTTCCCTGTGACATCTTGGTCAGAACTTTTACCAGAGGAACGACAAAGAGCAAGTCTTGCAAGACGGAGATGGACATTTCAAAGGTAAACTCGTTTTGCCCATATCAGGACTTTCTAGCTTTCCAGAAATATACTCGCACCCATGTCAAGATGTGGAGCGGCTTTCTCAACTTGATATCAATGGTGTGCCCTCGACGGCAAACTCCAATGAGCGAGCCCCACACCCGTTTTGTCCCATGGCAAAAAGTTGGACTGGAACCAAGTGCTTGGGTGCTCGTCAGCAGAAGGAAAACGAAAAACGGTCACTCGACATAGCCCAGGCCCACAGAAACAAGAAGCCGCCCACCTCACACCCTCTCTGGCACCTACGGATGGGTCATCATCGTGTTTAATAATTGGATGCACGAGGGCCACCTTTGGATTCATCCTGCGTCTAGTTCTAGTTACTGGACTGGCCTCGCCGATGCTTTACCGTGCAGACTGAGAATGCAGTGGCGTTGGAGGGAAAGCCCTCTACTGTGGCACCAACAAAACCCATCGGCCTGTGACCAAGGCCTGGTACCACCACCATTGACACGAGACCAAAAAGTCTCCCTACACAAAGGATTCTTTTCTCTCCAAAGAAGCCGAGAACCAAGAGACGAAAACAAATAGGCCCAACAGAAATCGACACAATGGCCAGCATGTCACAGTGTTTGACCTCATGGTCCCGTCGGATGAGAGTCAAGCGTCGAAATCGTGACCGAAGTGAAAATGAGGATGCCTGCTGTGTCTGCCTGTCCTGCGTCCAGGTTCGTGCATGACAGTCTGTAGGGACTCTGATGTTGCTTCGGGTGCGTCACCCCCTGCCCTCTCCGGTTTCTTTTTGCTTTGTGTACGATGTACGTTGAAGCAGGGACAGTCTTGCTAGAAAACGGAGTAGAGCCGACAAAGGACGCATGGGTGATGCAACTCCAGAGTGCTGCCGAAGACATTCCCTGACACCAGCTATTTTTCCCTCTCTTTGGTTCGCGCACATGTATCCTTCCCGCCGTCTCCTCACGAGCCAATTACGAGACGGTATACATCGTAGAAACGAAAAGGGGGTTTGTTGAACAAACGAGACCTTTGCTGCACTACCGCCACGGCCATCGAAGCAATCACTGCGACCATGGGACAAACTGGTAGCCAGAGCAGAACCCGTCGAACAAAGCTACGAGTGGGAAGGAAGAAGCACTGTGCTGCGTAACAACATATCTTGCATAGAACACCGTCGTGCGGATGGGCGTTTCACAGCGGACCGGGCACCGCCACAGCCCTCTCCCGCCTCGTTGTGTACGTCGTTAAACACATCATCGCTTGTCCTATCGCTGCGTGTTACGTTCCGTGCCTCTTTGCTGTGTCCTCTGTACGCCCGTGCTCGTTTCTGGATGATTCCCTGATCTGGTCATCGCTTTGTGGGCGTCGCATCCTTGCGCCGCTTGCGGCCCTTTTCTCTGGCATTGGCATCTTGTCTCGGTGAGCATGCTGGGGCGCTGGACAGCCACAAAGTAAGGAGGCAAGAGACGATCATGGCAATGGACCATCACAGCCTAGAGAAGTCCTACCGGACGGTGGTGCCATCCTTACCTTGCTGTGTTGTCAGCGTCCCTACACCGGCCCCGGCATGCGAATTCCATGATTCAAGAGAATGCCGACGAGCGCCAACGCCATATCAACGGATCGTATACTCATTCCGTCACAGCATGTCTTCCTTGCGGTCCCGATCATAAAGTTTATTTGTGTTGGTAGTCTTTTTAACGTGTTTGTGGATTTTAGAATGCCCGATCCATATATACAAGAAGCGAAAGAGGAAGATGAACGAAGAAAGTTGACGAACAGGGACGAGACAAGGAAAAAAGAGAACCAAAAGAGACACAACTCCTACGACGCGCACAGCATCACAGCACGGCGCCGTCTAGTAGATCAGCTGGTCGTCATAGGCACGCACGCTCTCGAGGTAGGCCTTGACCTCGCGGTAGTCCTTGCAGACGTGCTTGGAGTCCCAGCCGTCGGAGCCGCCGTTGTCGTCGGGGAAGGTGGTCTCGTGGCCCTCGAGGGCCATGTCGGAGCTGCACAGGATGGCCTCGCGCATGTAGTCCATGCAGTGGATCATGTGCCAGTGGTGGTCGGGCGGGATGGGGTGGCCGCTGGTGAGGCCGGAGTAGGTCTGGGCGATGGTGAAGAGGCAGTGGATCTGGTGGGTGACGGAGGTGGTGAAGACGGTCTTGTCGGGCCAGTCGATGGGCGTGGGCAGGTCGTGGTAGCGGTGGGTGTCGTTGACCCAGACGAAGCCCATGCCGACGGGCATGAGGTGGTTCCACTTTTGGAGGACGGCCTCGGTGAAGAACTCGGACGTGTTCATGGGCGCATAGGACGGGTCCGAGGTGAAGCGGGTGATTTGCTGGCTGACGCGCGGGCCGACGCCGGTAAAGTCGCCGCCAAAGTCCAGGAGGCGGCCGGGGCCGGCACCGGCACACGACGACGACGACGACGACGACATCGTCTGCTGGCGGGCCACAAGCCCCAGGATGGCCAGCAGCAGGATCGTGTCCAGGCCCCAGCGCGCCCACGTGCCGACACAGGCGCGCACGGAGCGGCGGCGGCGCTGAAGGGCGCGCTGCTGCTGGCGGGCGAGGCGGCGGTCGAGCTTGTCTTCGCTGGTGCCGCCGAGCTTGTTGTTCTTGCCGCCCAGCAGGCTCTCGTCGACCTCGGTGCTGCTGCTGCTGTGGCGGCCGAGGGCCAGGTCGAGTTCGAGATCGAGGTCCTCGTCGTCAAGGTCGTCGTCGTGGTGGTTGGCCGGGCGGCCGACGGACTCGTACTTTGCGTTCATTGTGGGTGTGAGTGTGGTGTGAAGGAGGAATAGAGAAAAGGAGTGGAAGTGGATGGACAAGACAAGACGTATCGAGACTTTAATGTCAATAGCAAATAGACCGGAGGGCCAGCCTGGTGAGAAGGGAAAGAAAGGATGGGAAGAAGAACACAATAGAAAACGAAAACCAAGAGAAAGACGAGTGGATAGGATGAGATACAAGACGAGAGGAGGAGAATGGGAAAAAGGAGAAAAGGAAAAGAGAAACAAAAACAGGAGAGAAGAAAGAAAGACGAAGCGAGGCAACCAAAAGAAACCAGACCAGCCTCTCGACTTGACGTGCCTCACACTGGTTTTGTATCAACCCCTTCCTCTGGTTGCTTCTCATCGGTGCTGTTCTTCTTCGCCGTGATGTTCTTTTCCTCTTTTGTTGTTGCCCTACAGATCCATGGCGATCAAAAATAGCATCCTCCATGCCTTCTACGTCGTCTCCCCACCCTCTCTCTTGTCACAATACTTATTGCCCGTACGTCTCGACGTCGTAGTGTCTCTTGTTTTGTCGTGGTTCTTGTCCCATTCTCGATGCTACTGTTTCCTGTTCTTCCTGGTCCTCCTTTTTCACGCCTTCGTCGTCGGTCCTGAAACACGTCGTGTTGGAGAAGTGCCACGGGGGTTGTAGGTCATCGTTGCAGCGCTGTAAAATGGTCCACGGGGTTGTGGCTCCTAATTCACAGCGCTGTAAAATACGACATTCAGCGGGTTTTGTCTGTTTAGCGCTCTACTGAGCCCGGCACGACCGTGCACGTACACGACATGCAGACTGCTGATTGGCGGGCGATCAAACGAACATCTGCGGCACGTCGCATTCTGCTCGTCCCAGGAGTCGGCTGGACTTGCTTCAAGTCTTGTTTCAGGCCTGGGTCCAAGTTGAGAGGAGGGAGAGGAGGGAGAGTCGGGGACGATGCAAGGGTACGAGGTAAGGGGACGACGAGGCATGTATGCGGACATGGAAAAGAAAAAAAGAGAAACATCAGACGGTCGTTCTCCGCCAGAAAGACTAGGAATGAAAAAAAAAAGACAAGACAAGAACTGACAAGAAAGACAAGAAATGACAAGAAAGACGATCAGAAAATCAGAAAATCAAAACGTCAAGCTTCGGGCGTGACGAGTATCGTTGACGGAAATCAGTCTCGGCGTTGACTCGTGCCCGTCTATTGATGTTATTTTTCTGCTATTTATTTTTGTCGTTTATTTTTGTTATTTTGGCCCATTATTCGTACTCTCATTCTACCATCCCAGTCATCCATACATTGTGCTTCACATCACAACGACACAAGGCTGAGTGAGGTGAACGAAAACAACCGAGAAACAAAACAGCCCCCTTCTTTCCTATCATTCCACATCCCACATCCCAACGCTCACGATGCACCTCTCCATTTCTCTCCTCGCCTCGCTCGCCCTCGCCCGGCACGGCCTCGCATACAAGCCGCTCTCTGACAATTTCCTCCGACAAGTACCGGGTGTGTCGGAGGCCGAGCTCGACCCTGTGGCGGGCGACCTGCTGGCGCCGTTTCTGCAGCCGCGCGCGCCCGGTTCCGAAGGCCACGCCGACATCCAAGACCATCTCGTGCAGTACTTTGCGGCCAACCTGCCGGACTGGACGGTCGAGTGGCAGAACGCGACGACGTACACGCAGGACCCCAAGGACAAGAAGAAGAAGTTTGTGGCGCATCACCTGGCCAACCTCGTCTTCCGCCGCGAGCCGCCCTGGACGCGGCCGGGGCAGGCCAACCTGCTGACGCTGGCGACGCACTACGCGACGCCCTCGACGGGCGTGCCGGCCGGGTACGTGGGGGCCACGGACGCGGCCGTGTCGTGTGCGCTGCTGCTGCACGTGGCGCGGAGCCTGGACGGCTTTGCCGCGCAAATGTACCGGGAGATGCAGGAGCTGGGCGAAGGCGGGACGGTGCCGATGGACATGGGGCTGCAGGTGGTGTTTGTGGACGGCGTGCCCACCGGCAAAGACAGCGAAAAAGGCGCCGGCGCCACGGCAGACGTTTCAGGGAGCGAAGGTTTGGCTGCGGCCTGGGAAAAGGAGACCAACCCGGCCTTGGCGGCCTCGCTCTACGGCTACCCGAACCGCCTCAACCAGATCTCGCTGCTGCTGCTTCTGGACCTGCTCGGGGGCAGCCGACCGCGCGTGCCGTCGCGGTACCAGACCACCCACTGGGCCTACCAGGCCATGGCGCGGGTCGAGCAGCGCCTGCGCGGGCTGGGTCTGCTGACAAGCAGCAGCAGCAACGGCGGCTTGGGCACGGACGACCCCTCGGCCGCCTTTTTGCCCGACCACGCCACCCCCGTCCACCAGCTCGACCTCGCCAGCGGCTGGGCCACCGACCGGGACGACCACATCCCCTTTATGCGCCGCGGCGTCGCCGTCCTGCCCGTCGTGCCGGACGCGAAGCCTGCGCACGCGGGCACGCTCCTGGACGACGGACAGCACGTGGACCGGCCGGTGGTGCAGGACTGGTCGCGGATTCTCGTCGGGTTTGCGCTGGAGTGGCTGGACATGATGGAGGTCGAGCCCCAGGCGCCCGTGGGCCGGCGGCGGCGGAGGGCCAGTCGCGACGCGTGACGAGCTCCAGCTTCCACATGCGTCTGTCCGCACCACTCCAACCAGACCCAGACCCCCCACCCCCCCTACCACCTTGGCTCCAGCGAAAACAGCTCCCAGGGCACACCCTCGCCCACCTCTGTGTCGTTGTACTGCACCACCTGGCGCCAGCCGGCGAGAAGCGCCCGCCAGTAGCAGACCTCCGCGGCCGGGCTGAGGTAGCCGCGGCCGTGCGGGCCGCTGGCAAACAGACTGCGCTGCCGCCGCGCAATGCCCTCGGCCACGGCGGGGTGGTCTTCCAGCCACTGCACCATGGCGCCCAGATTCGACCAGTCGGGGGCCACAAACACAATGTTGGCCGCGTCGGGGGCCGCGTGCGGCCACGCCTGTTCTTCGTCGGCGGTTGTCGTCGCGCCGCCGCCTCCCAAGACATCCGACGCATACAGCGGCCGCGCCAGGTGCGTCGTGTGCTGCATCCACGCCAGCGGCGCCGTCAGCACCACGCTGCCGCACAGCTGGTGGAACTGGAACCGCCCGCTGTACGTGATGCCCTCGGTGTGCACCACGTACTTGTACCGGCAAAAGTCTTCAATCATCAGGCCGTTGCTGGCGTCCTGCATCGCCAGCGCGTTCACGGCCCCCGTCCCGTTGTCGTTGTCCACCACCTCCGGCAGCCACGCCAGCTCCTGCACGTCCGCCCAGGGCTGGCCGCGTGTCGCCCGGAGCAGGTCGGTCCGCAGCGCCGGGTGGTGCGCGCTCGCAAACCGCGCGGTGCCGCGCCAGACGGCCTGCGCCTGTTTCCGGGCAAAGGGCAGACGCGCCTCGATCGCGTCAATGGCCGCCGCCGCCCGCGCAAACGACCCCACCATGCGCGGCCGCCACGCCCAAAACGAAAAGTGCGGCATGAGAAAGGCGCGCCCGATGGGGGCGTTGCCGGCCGTGGGGGCCGCGTAGGCCGGCAGCGAGTACGTCCAGGCGGAGCCGTACGGCTGGTCCTGGACGTTGACGGAAAAGACGGTGTCGAGTGCGTTTGCACCGCCAGGCGAGGATGGCGCTGTCAGGAGCGCCCGCTCAATCTGGTGCAGCGTCGCCACGCGTGCGTCGAGCAGTTCGGGCGGCAGCATGCTGTGTTTCTCGGCAGACAGGATGCGGAGTCGGCCGTTGCGAACACGCGCCTGCAGCGGGCCGAGATCGGAGGCCGGGTGCAGCGGAAACGGACCGCGGCGGACCTGTTTGTCGATGGGGTCCATGAGGCTGGGGAACGCGGCGCGGCATTCCTTTTCGGTGAGGTGGAGGTTGTTGGAGAGCGAGGATGTCGTCGAGGATGACGAGGATGACGAGGATGACGAAGAAGATAACGCATGGGGCGCTCTCGCATGCAACTGTACAAACAAGAAAAGGTAGGCGACGCAGCAGGCGGCGACAATGGCCGCCATGATGCGTCGCCAGCGAGGACGAGGGCGAGCGTCGGGAATGGTCATCACAGTGGGTTGCCGCGTGGAGGAAGAAGACCGACAGAAGAAAAACAAAACGTATGTACAGACTCAGAACTCGACGCAGAAAAAAAGACAAATAAATAAAATTCTATACACCCTCGCCTCAAAAGAACACGACGCCCAGTCGTGGCATCTCCACACCGAACGGTTTGGGTGGTTTCGTATAGACGTCAGGCTTCTTGGTATATTGCTGCTTGATCTGTGCCGAGAGGTGGCGGCTAAACCCTTGAGCCGTCGTGGACACTCCATGCTTTCGGTCGATCGTATATCGTCAAGAGAAAAGACAGAAAAGACAGAAAAGAGAGAAAAGAGAGAAAAGAGAGAAAAGAATGAAAAGAATGAAAAGAATGAAAAGAAGCAGCCGGATTCATGCAAAACTTACATATAAACACGTCCACATTGAGCAGCCTCGTAAAGTTGTCGTCATTTTCATATTTCTTTGCTTCTATCGTAATTCTCCGGTTTCGTTCCATAATTTCCGCGTGGCCCATACTCCCAATGTTGTCCAGTCCATAAAGCCCAATGCAAACCCCAACGCCGCAGCGATGTTTCGATCTAAACGGAAACAAACACGAAAAATAATGAAAAAAAGACAAAAGAGAAATACAAGCGAACAAAAGCAGTAGCTATGTACACGGGGATTCATCACCTCGAAACCTACACTTCGGTGACCTTGTTTCCGCGCCCACGCGCATGTCCGCGCCCACCTCCCCGTACACCCGGTCGTCTGCCGTGACTTTTCTAGCGCCGCGACATAGACGACCGGCCGCGTCGCGCGGCCGTGGCTGCCGCCGTCTGGGCGGCACCCGGGTTGACGGGTGTCGTTGCTGTGCCCTTGCCATTTCCACTGCCAAGGGCACCCCCATTCTGGACACCATTCTGGACACCATTCTGGACACCATTCTGGACACCATGCTGGATACCGAAGGGGTCGGTCGTCTGGACCGTGGACGGGGCGGGCGGTGCAGGCGGTGCAGCAGGTGCAGGTGCAGGCGGCCGCTGTGGCGGCTGGGCAGCCAACCCAGCACCTGGCGCGCCCCGCGGGTCCCCCAGCGGGTCCCCCAGCGGGTCCCCCAGCGGGTCGTACGGTGCCGCTATGCCCTGGTACTCGGGCGCGGGTGGCGCCTGGGCAGCTGCGGCGGCGGCGTTGTCGTGGCCGCCCGCAAACCGGTACACGGCAGACGCGGCGCCTTGAGCGCTCCCCTCGACAACACGGGCCGACGCCGGCGCACCGACGGGCGGGCGGCGGACCTGCTCGGCGTGCAGCTTCTCGAGCCCCTCGCCGACGACGGCGTACTTGTTCCAGTTGATGGGCGGCATGCGCACGACGTTTTGCGGTTGCGGCAGTTTGCGGAGGTCGGGGAGCCCGGCGACGTCGCCGTCGCCGGTTCGGTTGGCCTGGCTGAGCCGACCGCGCGCGGTAGCCATGCGGCGGCCAGGCGGTGCCGCACGCCCTCCCTGGCCGCTCGTGGAGTTGGACGACGCCGATCCGTGGACGGACGGCGTGTCGGGCGTCGGCAGCAGGCGGGTCGGTGACGTCGAAAAGGAGGTGCTGTCGGTATTATGATGAAGCGTCCCGGACGACGGCCTGCCCTCGTCGGTCTCCGTCACCATATCCACGTCGCCGTCCTTATCGGCGGCGCCAAGACCGGCACCGTTGCTGTACTTGTTGTCGTCCTCATCCTCGTCCTGGTCCTCGTCACCACTATCGCTGTCGCTCACAGAGGAGTCGTCTGCCGCAGCGCCGCCTTCGCGGATCCCCTGCAGCTGCCGCATAAATGCTTCGGGCTGGGCCAGCGCGGCCTCTTTCGCCCTGTGCAGCGCCTGGATGTCCGCCGTCGCCCTCTTCTTTTGCAGCTGCAAAATGGCAATCGTGCTCTGGAGGGCGAGCACGTCCGTGTTGCTGGCAAAGTCGATGGGAACGGGTGCTGGAGGGAGAGGTGCGTCTCTGTTGGGGTTGTCGTTGGAGGCTGTTGTAGCGGCGGCACCGGCACCACGCACCGGCTCAACTGCTGCTGCTGCCGCCGCTGCCGCCGCCGCCGCCGCCGCTGCAGCCTTGTGTGCTGCTGCTTCGCGGGCAGCCTCCGTATGCGTAAAGATGGCCCGCCCAGAGACAAAGTTGGGCGTGTAAAAGGTGCCCGTGCCCGTCGTCGTCGGCGCCAGGTGCGGCGGCAGTTCCGCGGCGGGCAGCACGGGCGAGATGGGCGGTCGCGGCGGAGACCAGGCTCGCTGCTGCGGTGGTGGCGGCGGCGCAGGCGCAGGTGCAGGTGCAACTGTGGGCGCAGCTACGGCAGCCGCAGCCGGCTTGGTCGCCGGTTTGGCCGCCTTGGGCGCTGCTGCCTTGGGCGACACTTTGGCCGCCTTGCTCGCCGCCGCTGCCGTCGCCCCGCTGGCCTTGGGTGACGTCTTGGGCGTTGCACTGCCCCCACTGCCCCCACTGCCGGCAGCCGGCGGCGACATGGACGAAAAGGCAAAGGCCGGAATCGACGGCGCCGGCACCGGTGTCTCCTGGATCAGCGGTACGGTGGGCGGCGGAACGGGCGTGGCCGTCTTTGGTTGTGGCTGCTGCGTTTGCGTGGGAGGGACTGGCGGTGGCACCGGCGTTTGCTGCACGGCCGATGGGCTGATGCTCGTCTGAGGTGTGGTGCTTGCTGGTGCAGTTGCCGTTGTAGGTGCTCCTGTGCCAGCACCAGCACCAGCTGCCGTGGCAGGTGCAGTTGCCGTTGCCGCTGTCGATGACGATGATGATGATGACGATGACGATGACGATGACGATGACGATGACGATGCTGATCCTGCACCGTTGTTTGTTGCTGGCACAGGTGCTGTCGACGCGGGCACGCCGCCTGTGGTGTCCGACGAGGTTGACGACGCCGACGAGGTGGACGACAGCGACGACGATGACGCAACCGACGAGATCGGCTGGGGCGGCCGCAAGGCCTGTGGCGGAATCGGGGGCGGCTTGATCTGGGTCTCGACAACAGGCGGCCGGGCTGCCTGCGCACCGGTGTTGCTGCCTGCGGACCCGCTTCCACCAGCCATGGTCGACAAAAGAAAAAAAGAAAAAGAAAAGTGTCCTCGTTGTTTCGCTGCGTGTCTCGCGCCGTTTGCGAAAGACTCGCAGGTGTGTTGTCTGGCGCAAGTTGCGCTGTGGTGAGTTGCGTTGTGAGGTCCCAGCTATTATTGAACTCTTGCCCCACCGAATGCGTGGATCGCCTGGCACGTGACACTAGACAGCGATAGCCGATAACAATCTGGCCAATGGGATCTACGGAGGCTCCTTCCCGCAAGGCGAAAAACTGGGGCCATCAATCTGAAAAGGTACATCTGAAAAGTACCTTTTAATCATGATATTTCGTTTGAGGGCATCGTTACACATGTTGCACAAGGTCGGGAGTACACACCCTATAAATGATACAGTTTATTTTATTTTATATTTTTGCCGTCAGTTCAAGGTATACAACTAATACGTAAGCCACTGACTTCTTAGTAAAACATTACATAACGTCTTCCTGCCTAGCAAACAGGAACTGACAGCTACTTGCCACGGAGGTCAAGGACGACAGAGAACAGAGCGATCCTTTCGTATGTACAGTCTGACTTCAACGAATTTGTAAGTCCTTAAGACTTGGACTCTAACAAAACTGGAGTTTTTTTGAAGCTTATATATATAGACACAAACACATATATGTACAACCGATCAAATGCTCCGACCAATGATGGAGCAATGGGTTCTCTTGATTATATACGGCAAAGTTGGATGCACTCGCGGGAACACGGGAGGGATGCAACGTGAGACGGGAGGGGGACGATACTGAATGGCGGAAAATATGGCAAAGGGAATATAAAGAGAGACGGAGAAATGGAGAAATGGAAAGACAAAAGTGTAGAAAGAGCAAATGAAAGAGGATCGACAAACACCTGCACGACGGACGATAGGTGACGGCAAAGCGAACTGTCAAGTCGCCGACAGCACGAAGACTTGACGTTGTCCTGACGTTGTTTTTACAAAGCGTTGCGCATCAATTTTAGGCGCTGTTGGTCCACCGCGCTTTCATGAATTGCCATTATTGCTCCCGAGTTACCATTTGCAGTTGTTATTTCATATCAGTCTGCAAGACATCACAAAAACAGAGGGAAATTCAACGACTGACAAGGCACATTGGTGAGCAGAGGCCGAGAGCAAGGTGAAGTCGACTCCCTACGCACAGACTCGTCAGTCATAAAAAAGGCAAGACATGTCTTTCCAGGATGTGTTCATGCAGGTCAAACAAATGGACAGTTGTGCTTTTGGACTTGCACCGAATAACGATGGCGCAGCTGAACGCACAGATACCGCATGTGGTGTTTCAGCCAACTCTGTTCTCGTCATTGTCTTTTATTTTTTATTTTTTTATTGCATAAAACAGAGTTAGTATAAAGGTTTCTGGTCACACGACATTTCAGCTTTCTTTATTTTGCATTCACCTTTATCTGCTTGTCAGCTCCCAGCCAAGACCTTGTCAACAAGACGCCTCCTCAATTGGGCCACAACGGTTTTGGCTGCGATTTCGGGTTGATGCCGCCGACTGTTCAACTGCCCTGCCATTCCGACATTCCTTCCCCTCTTTTTCTACCCCAAACAAGCGGAAACTATGCCGGTCTGGCCACGCTTCATGGTCTTTGCTTAGCCCACCGAATTGAATACTCCAGCACTGTCCGGGTTGTCACAACTGCATACGAAATAATGAGCACGACGTTGCTGGCGCCGTCCCCGCTGGTGTCGAATCCCCACAAAAGACCTGGGGAAGTCGTCTTCCCCCAGAACTACAGAGCCCTACCCCGGATCAATCCCACACCTGAAGAAGCTTGCCTTTGGACGAAGGCACCGCTAATTTTCCCGGCCGAGAAGGCAGAAACGCTTGCTGTGTAGTGTTCTCTTGTGGAATGAAGAAACTACAGTAAACTTAAAGTCAGGAAAGAAACGTGTCGTATTTGCACATAAAGATATCAAACCGACCACAACCATACGTGAGCCCGCCTCGTTGTCCTTGAGCTCTTTGAACGCCCCCTCTTGCCAAGCATGTCAATATTGACTAGAAGCATGCACGACAGGAGGTTCAGGTAGTCTCTACGGAATGCATCCGCCCAGAAGCACAACCGAGTCTTTATTTCATTGTATTTTTATTGTACTCTTTTGCTGTCGAGCCCGCCCACCCTCCGTACAACTTCATTTGCTTCATTTGCTTGATATTACAATTTAACCTCGTTGACACCAATTCCATAACACTCGTTCGCGTGGCCGCGTTGTCTAGCCTATTCCAGAGAATGGTCGACTGGAAGGGAAGAAAGAGGCGAGAAGGAAGGTGAGGGGAACGGGGGAAGAATAGGCGGTGGGGGCCGGTGATGAGCATCTGGTGTACATACGGCGCACTCACGAGTCACTCTTCCCCGTGTCGGGCACATTCTGAGATCGGCCCACGACCATCCAAGTTGTGTTACTGGTGCAGGACGACTGCCGAAGTGTGGCTAAGGAGGAGTAGGCGAGAAGGGGGGTATGGGGGGCCACATGGGGTAAATAAGCTAAGAGTTGAGAACAGAGAAAATGCGGAGACGGGCAGTTGACGTGTAAGTCAATACTGGGGGAGGTGAACGGAAGACGACAACAATCGGGAGGCAGACAGCAGAAACAGGTCCCTGCTCATAAACAGTCATAGGTGTCTTGTGCATGTAGCTGCAACCTGTATCTGCAACTGTCTCTGATCCTTCTCCCTCTGTCACCCCTACTCTCTTACCCGTTGGAGATTTGCTCAAACTCTCAAACCATGCCGGGCCTCGGAGATCGGCATGGTAAACAGGAAACGAAAGAGAATAAATAAACTAAACGAGCTGGAAGGATTTGACGAAATATCTGCATCAAAGACGCACCAATACTCCGTACAACCGTATCCCCATGCAGTCTTCTCTTCCCACACCGTCCCCTGCCGTTTGTCTCCAGCTTGCCTTCTGTGACCCGTCGTTGCATCCCTTCTTTATATAGCTTGACCGTTCCGAGACCAGGTTCTCCTCTTTAGGTCTTCTTGCTGTCTTGTTTTCCCCCTCCCCCCCTCTCATCGTACTCATCATCCTCATCCTCTGGCCCCTTCATTCTCCTCTCATCGTTCAACTGTCTGCCGCCATGTCTGATCCACAGAGGCACCTCGTGCACAGGTATGTCGCTTTGTCCGCGCTTCGATTGATCGGCTGTTCGCCCCTAACCATCACAGCCATGCCAAGGAAGGCGACATTCCCGGCACCGTCGACCTCCGGGCCGCCGAGGGCGACGACACCGCCTACGGCCAGGCTCTGTATCCCGTGCCCGCCGAAGACCCCAACGACCCGCTGCAGTGGACCAACCTCAAAAAGTCGCTCATCCTGGCCGTCTGCGCCATCTACTCGTTTCTGGGCAACTCCGCCCTGCTCGGCCCCTCTGTCTACATTGGCATCTACGCCAAAGAGTTTGACATACCGCCCGGCATCGCCTCCAACATCATCAGCTACGCCAACCTGGCCTTTGGCTTCGGCTCCCTGATTCTCGTGCCCCTCTACCACAAGATTGGCCGCCGCCCCGTCATGCTCGGCTCCATGGTCGTCTACTGCGCCGGCCTCATTGCCTGCTCGCAGTGCACAACCTACGGCTCGCTCATGGCCTGCCGCGTGCTGCACGGCTTCGGCTCCGGCGTCTGCGAGGCGCTGCCCGTGCAGCTGGTCAATGACATTTTCTTCTTGCACGAGCGCGGCAAGCGTCTCGGCTACTATACCGTGTGCCTGTGCCTCGGCTCGACGGGGCCCATGTTTGCCGGCTTTATGCTGGCCGGCGGCTACTCGTGGCCGCTGTTTTTCTACGTCGAGTTTGCCTTTGCCGTGGCCCTGCTCATTGTCGCCTTTTTTGTCGTCGAGGAGACGACCTACCACCGCGTGCCGCCCGCCGTGTCGCCGACGGCCACGTCGACGAATGTCGCCGTCGACGGCGGCGAGAAGGCGACCGTGCAGCACGACGACAACAGCAGCACGGCGGGGGGCGCGGCGGGCCGGTCCGTGCCGCGCCGCAAGTCACGCCTCGAGCAGCTCAAGTTCTGGGGCGTCTGGGAGCGCGACTCGCCCTTTTTCACCATGATGGTCCGCAGCTTTACCTACTTTTTGGTCCCGCCCGTCTTCTGGGTCGTGTCGACGTACGGCATCTACATTGGCCTCGGCGCCCTGACCTTCAACTACATCTTCCCCCTCAAGATCGTGGCGCCCCCCTACAACTGGTCCGAGACCAGCTCCGGCCTCATCGCGCTGGCATCGCTCATCGGCTTTGTGCTGGCCGTGCCCTTTACGGCCTCCTCCGACCTTCTCGCCGCGCGGCTGACGCGCCGCAACGGCGGCATCCGCGAGTCGGAGATGCGCCTGGGCGCCATGCTGCCGTCGATGCTGCTGGCCCCCACCGGCCTCATCATCTTTGGCTTTGCGGCCGCGCGCGACCTGCACTGGATCGCCTACTTTTTCGGCGTCGGCATCACGCAGTTCTCCGCCTACTTTTACTTTACCTTTGCGCTCGCCTACGCCATTGACAGCTACACGTCCAACATTAGCGAGATGCTGATTGCCATGAATCTGGGCAAGCAGGCCATTAGTTTCGGCATGGGCTTTGGGCTGCTGGACTGGATCACGGAGCATGGGTACCTGACGATGATTGCCGGCGCATTCACCGGCGTGCTGCTGGCCAACAATCTGTCCCTCATCATCTTCATGGTGTTCGGCAAGCGCATCCGGACGTTCATGGCGGGCACTTGGCTGGCGCGGATGCACCGCAGCACCGTGCGGGAGATTGCTACTCATTGAGCGGTGCCTGTGCATGAGGACACCAACGTCTAGCAGATAATGGCAGGAATTTCATGAAGCTTGACGATAGCTGATAGCAATTGACACTATATTGAACGAACTGAAATGTTTCCATATTCTGAAAATAATTGAATACACAAACACACTAATCTACCAACAGGCGCGGAAGATACACCTCACTACCGCGCCGTATGACGGACTCAATCTCACGAGTACTCGACCACCTGGATGAAGCCATTGAACCAGGCCGGGGCCGATGCACGGCTCTCCACGTCAGGGTCCAGCGGCAGCCCCAGCAGCCGCGCGTTGTATACGTACGGTTGACCGCAGGGGCCCGATGTGTCAAAATCAAAGGCCCACGTTGTCTGATTGAGCACACCCAGAAACACGCCGGGCAGCCGCTCGCCCGTGGTGGTGTTGTAGTGGCCGTACGCCTCGACTGGGTAGCCGCGCCAGGGCGCGGCCGCCGTCGCATTCTTGGCCTCCAGTTTGGGATTCGACTCGATAATAAACGCATTGTTCTTGTCCTTGTGCACACCCAGGGCGGGCGGCTTCAGATTCGACGGCGTGGCCGTGTCGTTGCTGTTCGAGGTGCTGAGACGGAGCACCCCGTCAAAGCACCGGAACGTGACGCGCGCAAACAGGCGCGAGCGGAGCAGGCTGAAGGCCAGCCTGGTAAAGTTAAAGTCGCCGAGCGGCTCGCCGCGACCACTGCCGTCGTAGTGCACAGGGATCTCGGTGGCATAGAGTCCATCGACGGCCGGGTCTTCGCTCTGCGCGATGACGAGCTGGAGGTAGCGGCTGGCGTCAACGTGGTCGCCGCCCGCCAACGGAAGTGCAGCCGGGTACTTTTGGCACGTGGTATCGTCGAGGCGCACGGCCGTCACGTTGGGGACGGCCAGGGCCGGACGAAGGAATACGAGGGCGAGAGTGCCCACGAGAGTATGTAAACGAGTCATGATGAAAAGGTGAGGAGATGGACGATGGGAGCGGGAGAGAAGAGGGACGTTACCGAATTAGACGACAAGGTTGGGTAACGATGGATCGGACACGAGAATAACGAGAGACTCGATAGTCTTTATGTATGCGTTTTGTAAGGCATATCTCGCCATCGCTATGACTACATAATTGGCCTCGCCGGATCCTTCATCGGGTCACGATATTGCTGCGTCGCAGTGCAAGCCTGAAACTATCATTCTCATCAGCAACGCCGACAGTCTCAATACGAGCTTGCTTTAAACTGCAGCTGTGCACAAACCAATTGGCGCGGAGAACTGGGCCTGCCTGCCTACAAAAGAGGGTAGACTTTGAAGGATGGACACGGTTGGCCTCGACTGTTGTACTTATCCAAACAACTCTTTGTGGCTGGGATGCGGGATGTTGTCGTAACGTTGAACTTCCTGCTCGTTATATAGCCTGACCAGCACCTGCAAGGAATAAGTGCAGAGATTAAGCGAAATGGAAAGAGAGGCGGAGCAAGTTGCGTGAGTCTTCCAACGCGGCTTGTCCTTGGCAAAATAGGCACTGACGGATACAGAACAAATGTCGTGGATGACAGTAAAAGAGAATAAGAAACACAATCAAAGGGGCTTTGCAAAATTAAATGACACGCCAAAAAAGGTTCACGAAAGGCTGTATTTATTTCAAAAAATCCTGCTGTTCCCCGTCGCTGGCTAGAGAAAAACGGAAGCCCTAAAACTCCGAAAAGAAAATAGAAAGCAAAGGAAAAAGCAAACGAATTGGCCATGGAACCACATTCAGTTTCAATGTCAAAATAGTCCATGGCTGGATATGGCGTGCCTTTAGTGTAGGATTGACGATATGGAACGTCTGCGTCACGCTTCAGAACTTTGCTCTAGAAATCACTGCACAAAGTTAGTTTGGATATGGGCCAAGACACCACTACGAGACAGGGGCTCCGGGAACATACCCTTCTAACGATTGCTGGACCGTCCGCCGCAGCTTGCGGTTGTACAGTTTGCGGTCTTCGGGCGAGCCCCAAAACAACTTGTGTGCTTCGGGGTTCACGAGCGTGCGAGGGTCATATGGTGGGTTCTCCTCTTCCAGCGCCTCGATGATGGCCTCAATGTGCGACCGCACGTCCTCGCGCTTGTTGGGCAACACCACATAGCACGGCGTGCCGTCCCCAGAGATACGGTGATGGAAAATGTTCACTTCGAACCGGGCACGCGGCTGCTCCTGAGGGAACCGCGGGCTCAGCATCAAACGGATGCGGAAGAGACCGCCGTCCAAGTTGGTCATGGGTTTGCCGAAATAGGTAATGATCCAGACAAACGGGTTGTTGTCCTCGAGCTCAATGTTGTGAGGCGTCCCGTCGCGTTTGAACGCCTCGACGGCCTGCTCAAACTGCCGGCGGAGGTTGACCGACACCGTTGCAGTCTGCTCAACGGCCTCTTTGCCCTCGGCGGCCCAACCATTGGTTTCCTCGTCCAGCGCCTCCTTGATGGCGACCAGCCGCTTCTCAAGCTCGCCGTAGCAGAAGCGGCCCTCCATGGTGTTGTTCGCCCCTTCAAAGGGCATCCGTACAAACATCTGTCCCTCTGGCACCTCGGCCTTGGCCTTGCGTACCGACGCAAGGTACGTGTCGTAGTACCAGAGATAACGGCGTTTGCAGAGGTCCTTAAAGGGCTCAAACGGGGCGACGGTCTCTTCGAGACCGTCCATGTCAATGTCCTCGACCATATTGCAACGCTCTGCTTGGCTCAACCGGCCGATGCGGCTGTGGTTTAGTCCCAAGAACTCTTCAAGGCGCATGATGACCGTGACGCGTATGGTCTCGTGGTGGATCTTTTGGACATAGTCGCTCTGGTTCTTCTTGTCCGAAGGGTCGTTGGCTTCTTCGAATCCCGGCTCGTTTTCGTATGGATTGCTCGACATGAGGCTCTGGATCGACAGCAGGATCGACTCGAGGCCCTGTGCTGCCGACCACTCTTCGCCGCGTTCGCCGCGCCATGTTCCGAGAATCGACAGGCAAACTCGGCCGTTGGAGTATATGTTGGGGTTGAACCGGCTGCGGCCTGAATTTGTTGTCAAGGCTGTGACATTGGGCGATTTTCGAGGGTAGTCTATTCGACAGAGAACAGACAGTTCCGTGGTCAGCTATGCGACGCGCACTCTACACCGATGTCGACATGGGATATAATCACCTCTGCTAAACTTGACGGTAAACTATGCGCAGACACGGTTAGCAACCAAAGTCGGGGGTCGTACACAGAGGGGTCCCCAAGGATGGGAATGGGCAAAAGATCGGCCACTGTCTCACCTCGAAGAAGCCAAACTCGTAAGGCGTGTCCGGAGGACCGATAATCATGGTCGTGACATTTCGAACATCGGCATCGCGGCATGCAACGGCGAGTGCTAGTCGGAGAGAATTAGAACCATGTGGCGAGCCAAGACGCGAGAGAACGGGAACACAAGGCGATGCTCACATAAATCAGAGTTTCGTTGGATGTCGCTCAATTCCTAAGTAGGAGGATTCCATTCAGCGCTGGCCAGGCAGAGGCTTGTCCAACAGACAGGATCAAGCCGGGAGAACAACAATGCTCTTCTTCTCGTGACAGGACACAAGACAAACCTTGGAGATACGGATGATCGACTGGTCCGACATGGCGACGGCAGTTCTGCAAGCGATGGCAGAATGCGCGGCGCGTGGCGGTCGGAGTGGCCGCTGTGAAGAGGGCACGAGCGAGGCACGATGTTGCGCGGATCGGGATGTCTTGCAGAAGCACGATGGTCCACAGCCAAGGTCGACGGTTAGAGTGCTCCGACAGTCGGCTTTTGGCTCGAAAAACAAAGCTACGACGAAGGATCAGAGAGAAGGATATCGTCGGTCGAGTTAAGATGGTGGCAGAATTGGTTGGAAAATCGAACGTCGTGAAATAGAGGGGTAACTGTCGTATCTCGGGTCTGAGGGAGCGATGACGCTGGGACGATGGCAAAGCTAGGTGCAGCAATGTGAGAAGGCGAGGAGGAGAAAAAGAGAAAAGGACAACGGAAGACGCTGGATATTTCAATGGGAGAAAAGAGAGACGCAAACGCAGCGGGTCTCGGGAATGACGGTAATCAAGTAAGCGGAAAGAGCGAAGGCAGCGAGAGTGAAGCCTAGTGAAGTGGTGCCGGATCTGATTGCACGGGATGCACGCCCGTTTGCAGAAGGCGCGACCATGCGCTCGTACTGCGGGGTGCTTCCTCACTTGAGGCCAGCCTGCGAGCCTCCGACTGTCGTCCAAGGCGATTCATTCACACTACAGAGCGGCCAATAGTGGGGCAGGTGAGACGCTAACCCTTCCACTGGCGCCTGCCCAAACAGACACAGAGCAACCACAAACAGTCACGGCGCGGCTGTCGATTATCATGGATGGAAGGTGCGAGGTTCAGCCTGGTCTACTACTAGTGAATGGACGATTAAATACGGCTCAGTACTTGTAGACTAATTCGTACATATGCTTGCATTTAGGTGGCTAGAGCGGAATAAGCGACAAGAGAGAGTCAGTCAGCTGATTGGACACTGTATTACAGCAGTACGATACCGAGGATACGTAGTTATCACAGGGTCAGGATAAGTGATGGTGATGCTGGGGAAAGCAGCTGCCGGTCGCACCTTCCACTTGTTGGAAGCTGTAATATGTACGGCGAAATCACGTGCAAGTCCTGGCGTACTTGGCTCAGGTGCAATGTTGCCACGGAGAAGCCTCCGAATGCTCACGACGACCGCGAGTACGGTACGGAGTGCACGGCAACTGGAAACATCGAGAACACCTCCACCCTGTCGGAATTTGTCTGTGAGCTGTTTCGAAAGCAGGGCTTGGTGGAGCTGCTGCAAGGAGCCGCGTGAGACAAGGGGGTGCTGTAACTGTTGCCCCTCGGCTGCTAAACCCGGTTTGTGTAGGTGCTGCCTTCCCTAGCGCATAGCTCACAGCGCTGCGTCGACTGCTAGTGTGTTGTCTTGTGTGAAAACGGGGCATAAGGTGCAGGCGCGATCCTAGCACTTTCCTTTCCTCTGTCGCAGAACAATCCAGGTGGCCCCTTCCCAATTGGCACTGCAGGGCGTGGTCTAACTCGAGAGAAGAAAGTCTTGGCTTTGCTCGTCCTTATTGACAAACTTCATCCCGTCTTTTATATCCGTCTCCAGTTCTTGTCCATCATCACCGTTGCACTTGATCTCGAGCTTCCTCGGCCAACTGCTCCCCATCTGTGGCGTTCACACCAATCGAGAGCCGTCGAGCCCTCCAGATCTCCGCAAGATTAGCGTCACCTGTCGCTAGTGGGAACGCGCTTCTGTTTCTTTTTCCTCTGACGTTTTGCGCGGACTGGTTTCTGTGTTTCTTTTTTTTGTTATTCGCTCGAGCTTCTTTCTTTTGTTATATCTTTGTCGACTGCCTCCGACGACGCCGAGAGGGATAAAGATTATCAACTTCGCCCACCTCTCTTGTCGATTGTCAACACACACCTTTAGCTAGCTTGCATCCTCTATCGCCACCGCGTCTCCCCCTTTTCTCTTCGCTCCTCGGCGCGGCATCGCCATCCCAAGATTCACGTCATGGCCGACATAAGGGGGACAGCGCCGCCGGCAAGAGCCTCGGGCTCGCCGCAGGCATCAAAAATCAGCACGACATCGCTCAACAAAAGGAAGACAAAGACGTCGTCAAGGAGCTTTCTCGGATATGTTTTGAATACGGTTGCTAGGTTCGTGCTGATTGCTGCGTCGCTGATGTTGTGTTTGTTGTTCCGTTTTGAATCTGTCGCCACTCTAACTTCCTCCTCTTAGGATCTTCACGTGGTACTCCATATTCGTCCTCCTTTTCCGGTGTCCGTCGAGTCTCGAGGAATGCGACACCTCGTCACCCTGGCTCTGCAAGCCGTACTTCCAGATCAAGCAGGCCGTCGCACCACACGTCCACAAGCATTACGATGCCTACGCCGCGCCATATGTCCAAGTGGTGAGGCCGTACTACGACACGGTTGACCGCACCGTCATCGCCCCCGCGTGGAAGTACGCTGTGAAGTATGGTGCGCCCCAGGTCGAGCAGGCGCAAGCGTTTGGCCAGGCACAGTGGACGTCGAACATCCAGCCGCAGCTGGCCAAGGCTCAGAATGCCGCGTTCCAGCAATACAACCAGGTGCTGGGTCCGCACGTCGACAAGGCCGCCACGGCCGTTGCACCATACTACGAGATTGGCCGCAACAGCGCGCTCCAGACGCACCACGAAGTGATCCTCCCCGCGTACGAGTTCCTCTCGCCATACGCCCTTCAGGGCTACTCGGCCGCTTCGGCCTTCACGACGGGAACAGTTGTGCCTGTGGCCATCTGGACGTATGGTCAGGCTTCGGAGTTTATCGACTCGACTGTCCTGCCCCAGCTTCGCATTTTCTACGTCAACACGGTCGAGCCCCAGCTGCAGAAGATCGGCCTTAACATCGGCCAGTATACGGAAAAGGTCACATCGCAGCGGACGTAAGTACTTGTCGCCCCTGGCGCGACTCAACCGTTTAGCTTGTATCTAACAGTGGAGCAGCGCGTACACCAGTGGCGCATCCTCCTCGTTCACGAAGCCAGCCCAGCCGACCACCTCGACTACCTCCATCAAGGCGTCTTCGTCCACCACGACTACCTCGACCTCGACAGCCCACACTGAGCAGCCCGAGACCACCTCGATTGCTACGGCTGCGGCCGCCAGCTCGACCGCCTCCGCGGCGCCTGCTCCCGCCGGCATCACGGACGCGGCGAAGCTGAAGCGCCCGGAGCCGATTGTGCAGGACCAGGCGGAGTCGGCGGAGGACGAGGTGCGGCGCCTTGCGCGCGAGACTGTGGCCGAAGATCTGCACGCTTGGCAGGAAAAGTACGCCAAGGCGGCAGACGAGGGCGCGGCGGAGATTGAGAAGAGCGTCGAGGAGATTTCGAAGCGCATGATCCGGCGCAGCGCGCGCACGTCGGGCAAGGCCCTTGTGGACGGGCTGCAGAACACGGTCGTGACGAACTTGGTGCAGCTGCGGCGCGACATTGTCAACATTATCGGCGCGGTAAAGCAGGAGACGACCACGCCGTCCGCGGCCGAGGAGCAGGTGCTCGTGGTGGTGCGGCGTGCCGGCGTCGAGATTAAGGAGAAGGCGCAGGCCGTGCGCTCGTGGCGCGAGGAGTACGGCAAGGAGCTGCAGGACACAATCAGCCGGGCGGCCGAGAACCACTTCCAGATCCTCGGGTCAATTAGGGACTTGGCGCTGCAGCGGATCGGCATGAAGTGGGCGTGGATGGAGGGCATCACGTACAAGGACTGGGCCAAGTACCACCAGCTCAAGGGCCGCTTTGAGGAGTGGGAGAACGACTTGGAGCAGCTGATTGTGACACACCCCGGCCTCGAGGCGGCGACAAGCGCGGGCCAGGCGGTCGAGGACGAGGCGATGGGCGTGGCGGCGTCGGCGGCCAAGGAGCTGGGGCGTCTGCGCCAGGTGGCCGAACTCAAGATTGCCGAGCTCGACGACAGCGACGAGTTTGACGCGGACACGATCAAGGCCAATGTGGCGGCGGCCAAGGCGGCCAAGGAGGCCGAAGAATCCGCAGAAGCCGCACGCCTGGCAAAGGAGGCTGAGGAGGCGGCTGCCGCCGAGGCTGCCGCACAGGCAACTCTGGAGGAGGAGGCGGCGGCCAGATCAGAGGCTCTGGCAGCAGCAGCTGCGACCGCCGAGGTTGTTGGTGCCGAGCCGATCACTGAGGCCACTGAGGCCACCGAGGAGGGACAGGCGGAGGGAAAGGAGGCGGCTGTGCCGCCCAAGATTACAAACGATGACGAAGCGGCCGAGTCCGTCCTGGCTGACGAGGCCGCCGAAGCCGAAGCCGAGGCCGATACGGAAGCAGCCGACGCTGCCACAATTGCGCCTGACGAGGTCCCCATCATTCTGGGCGACGCAAACGGAGTGGTCGACGACTCGCCAACCCAGGAGACGACTGAACTGGCCGATGCCGAGTCTACGGCGGATGCTAAAACAGTGCACCTGCCAGTGGACGAGGTGGACGAGGCTGTTGAGGCCGACGAGGCTGCCACTGCCGAGGAGACGACGGATGCGCTATAGTGGGCACCCTTGGCGACTGTATTGGGTTTGATCTGAACTGGCTGGAGGCTATTATGAAGCCGTTCTGACCGTCACGTTTGCCATGCGAACAAGACTGGATATATTGGCGTTTCTTCCTTTTTCTTGGTGCGACTTGTCACTGCATTTCTTTTGTCCGTGTCTCTGTCGCGCCTGTATCCATACCACTGCACACTGTATCATTAGCATATACGTTTTGATAAAAATGAAGAAAATGTATACATATATAAAGTATGTAAATTATATATACTACAGTAACACGCCAAGCAATAATATGTGTCAAGAATTGGGTTTGTCTATATGATTGTACGTGCCCGGCTGTCGTCCATTGTCCGCCCGCCTGCTACGACAGATGTGCCTCCGGCGCCGGTACGCCGGTACGCCATTACGCCGTGACGTCTTCCCGTCACTCCGGCACGCGCGTCTTCAGCTGCACGCCATGCCAGCCCTTGATCAGGTCGCCCAGCGCGCCATTCACCATCCGCTGCTGCTTCAGCATGTTGGCCCCGCGAAACCGCTCCGAGCAGATCTCAATGCCGTACATGCTGCCGCAGCCGCCCGAGATGTCACGCACACTCAGCTCATGCGGCTCAAAGGCGGCGACCAGCAAGTCCCAGATGTGCGACTCGGCGTCGTCGAGAAAGTCTGGCTTCGGGATGGGAGAGGGCGAGGCGGTTGCGGACGAAGAGGACTCTGTCGGCGTGGCGGCAGCCGCCGAGTGCGCGCGCGCGGTGGACAGAAGTGCCGGCTGGGCGGTACGGCGGACAGTGTGTGTCTCAGAGAGCGAGGGCCGCACAGCTGAGCGCGCAAGAGTCACAAGTCCTCGGCGGGCCACGACGGTGGACGCCGACGAAGACGTCGGCGAGGAGACTGCACGGCGTCCGCTGTTCACCAGCTGCTGCCGGGCGAGGCGGCAGGCAGAGCAGATCATTGTGGGGTGTTTGTAGAGACGAACCGCGTCCGTGGTTGGGCCAATTGGGTAGATGCGCCGGGAAGCTGTGGTCGGTGTTGGATGGGATGAGGTCACTTTGTTGCTGATTTACAATTTGTATGTGAAGCAGCAGACGGTAATACACATACGTAGTTGTGGGGCCTGACCAGAAACTGGCCAATGGCAGCGCACCAAATAGAACCACAGCCGAAGTGTGGAGGATCATTGATACAGAGTCTCAGAGTATAAAAAGTGCAAAAAGAGAAAAGAATACCTCACGTTTATCTTCTATCCTAAACAACAACCTAAACTCTCTCGATCGATTCTGTTCATCATGTCATAATTTCTTCTGTCTATTGTCAATACGAAAATGGGGTACAAAAATAAGGCGAGCACCAAAGACAAGAAACGAAAGAAGAAAATGGTCGATCAAAAAAGTAAGATGTAGATGTAGCCAGGATTAGGAAGAGACAAAACTCCAGATACCCAGGAAAGATACCCCTTGAAGTAGACACCCAAGGCATAAATGCCGGACAAACACACGCGCACAACCCAAAAACTGAACAGCAAAAGCAAAACATCAGCCACCAGGCCCACCACCCATGTTTTAATGGCGCCAGGCTCAAACTCCTATGCAGCATGGTACCACTCCGGCTCGCGTACACGCTCTACACCTCGTCGCCCGCCACGGCCTCGTATGCGGCGCCGTTGTTGTTGCGCTTCCGCCGCGTCGCCTCCATCAGCCGCGGCGACTCGTACATTTCCGTGTAGTTGACGGTCACGCCACCGAGCAGCGCGCTGCCCGTCTCGCGCTGGCCAAACAGGGGCGCCGGATCGCACCAAAAGTCTTTGCAGTTGGTGAGGCAGCCGCGGGAGTAGGGGTTCTTGTTGCGCCGCTTGGTGCCGGGACCGCCCGACGCCGCGCCGCGACCAGTCGCCGTCTCGATGAATGTGTCGACGCCCAGAATCTTGCTCCACTGCTTGAGGAAGCCGCCGTGGCTGTGGCCGTGGCCACCATGGCCGTGGCCGTGCGCACCAGGCCCATGGCCATGCCCGTCGTCGCCAGCGGCCGCGGCGTGGCCCGGGTTGAGGGGGGCGCCCGTCGACGTAAAGGCCGACTGCAGCGCGCTCACGCCGCCGTGGCCGTGGCCGTGCGCGCTGACGCCGTACATGTTCTCGTAGGTGGTCATGGCGCGGGACACCTGGATGAACTGCACAAACAGCAGCATGGACACCCAGGACAGCTGCAGCGAGGCCCAGACGGCCACGAGCAGCGTGAAGGCGTCGGCGTTGATGACGACGCACAGCGACGGCGACAGCAGGTTGCAGCGGTCGTAGCCCGGCACGGCCGCGGCCTCGGCGGCGGCGACGGCCGCCGCGAGCGCGTAGTAGACGATGAAATCAAACACGACGACGCCGACGGTCAGGTTGATGAGATACAAAAAGAAGTGGCGGTGGTTGTTGATGCCGACGCAGTTGTAAATCCAGGGGCAGTGGTGGTCGTGCTTGGCGACGCAGCGCTGGCAGCGGCGGCAGTGCTTGCTGCGCAGCGGCGTGCGGATCATGCAGGGCACGCAGAAGTTGGCCTCGTCAAACTTCCACTGCGAAATGAGGTCGTCGATGACGGCCTTTTGCTCGGCAATGCCGTTGAGCTTGGGCACGAAGCCCGGGTCCGACGTCATGCTCACTGCGTAGTAGTATGTCGTCAGCGCGAGCGCGACGGCAAAGACGAGGTTGAGCAGCCAGTGCGTCGTGACAATGGTGTCGCCCGCCGACTTGAGCGTGGACGTCGCCGTCGTGTGGGCGGCCACGCGCCACGTCGTCGCCGGCAGCACGCGGAACAGCCAGGTCATGGCGACCAAGAACAGGCTGCCCGCAAAGATGCCCGACAGCCAGGGCGTGCGCTGCAGCTGGCGCATGTCCGGCGGCGCCTGCTGCACGACCTGCTGCGCAATCGTCTGCATGCCGTAGCCCACCGCCAGCGAGAGCGGGACGCCCAGGTAGACGGGCAGGTCCGCCAGCAGCGAGACCATGGCCCAGACAATGACAAACGGCCAGAGGTACAAGAACTTGGTGGCAAACCCGCGCTTGTCGGCCACGAGCGCCGCCGCGCCGGGCACGCTCGACAGCAACGCCACCACACTGCCGGCTGCCGGCGCCGTCGGGTTGCCGTCCTCGTCGTACCCGCACTCCCGCAGCGCCTTGTGCCACGCCGCCGCCGTGTTGAGCTCCTGGGCCGTAATGGCCGGCGTCTTGCCCGTCGCCGTCTTGGCGAACCGGTCGGAGCCGTACTCGAGCAGCTTCTGGATGCAGCCCGGCGAGCCCTTGACGAGGGCCCAGTGCAGCGCCGTGAAGCCCTGCTCGTCCTGTGCCGACACGCTCGCGCCCCAGCGCAGGAACAGATCGACACAGGCGGGGAAGCCCTTGTAGGCCGACCACATGAGCCCCGTGTGGCCAAAGCCGTCGAGGACGTCGACAGGGATGCCCTGGTGCAGCAGGAGGACGAGCAGCAGGACGTTGCCGTTGAAGGTGGAGATGTGCAGGGTGTTGTAGCCCTGCGAGTCGGTGATGAGGGGATCGGCGCCGCGTTGGAGGAGCAGGTGGACGGTGTAGTAGTGGCAGCGCTGGGCGGCCCATTGCAGGGGCGTGGCGACGGACTCGCCGCCCTTTTGGTTGATGGGCGCGCCGTTGTCGAGGAGGAACGTGCACATGGCATACTGGTTGTTGATGGCAGCCCACTGGTTGGTTAGCGGTGCGATCTCGAGCGAAGCGAGGACAGAAAGAAAAGAGCGGAGCGAGGACAAAACAAAAACGAGCGCAGTGAGGACAAAAAAACAAGGACATAAAAGCAAGGATAGGCGGGACAAAACATACGTGGAGAGGCGTAATGCCCTCGGCGTCGGTGTAGGTGGCGTCGAGCTCGCCCTCGGCAAAGAGGGCCTGCATCGCCGGGACATCGCCCACGCGCGCGAGGTGCATAATGTCCTTTTGCTCGTCCGCCGCGGCCGCGGCACCGCCGGCCGCCGAGCTTCCGCCGTTGAGAGCACCGAGCTCCATCTCGTTGTTCAGTTTTGGCGTGGCCGCGCTGCCTTTGGCCGGCGGCTGTGCCGGTGCTGATTTGGCGTCGGGCATCGGGGCAGGAGGGCTTTATAGGTGTCGAGGGTGCGGACGACGTCGTCAGGTCCTATCCTAGGCAGCGTGCAGGGTGTCGAGGCCTCGAGAATAGGGGAGCAGCGCAGCAAAGTCGAGATCAAAAGTGACGCTTGATGACGCGGAAATCGAGGAGTGAGAATGCAGAGAAGCGTGGCCTGGGAAAGAAGCGACGACGGGGCTGAATAAAAGGAGATCCAGAATACACAGACCCCTGCTGAACTTTAATTCTAAACGTCTCCTTTCGCGTGGCGTGGCTGCTGGCAGTTGTCACGCTTTTACCTTTGTGCGGAGCGTTCAGACGAATGCTTTTTAATTGTTCAGCCGGTGATCCTTGCCTGCCTCTGCCTGTTACGACGCGCCGCTGAGCCCTCCATTGCTCTTTCCGCTTGGCGCACTTGCTGCGCCTTACCAGTCAGCCGCGCGCCGCTATTCTTCGAAACGGGGCAGGCGGCCCCCTATTTTAGGTTCGTGCTAACGATGCGAGGCAAGAGCGAAGGGTACGCAAAGTTGCCCACTGCAATTTACCTGTCTCCTTTGTACCTTTGTACCTCTGTCTGCTGCTGACAGGTGTCTTTCTGCTTCAGCAAGGAAGCGCCCAGTACTCCGTACCAATGCTGGGCGGGCCACTGATTGGCTGTAAATGTTACAGCGTGGACCCTGGAGTTTAATGGAGTTTCTGTTCCACAGTGTGGCTTCCTGCCTAAGAAGGGCATGACAGGCTGAATTGTTCATATCCGCCGGAAAGCCACAGGGCTTAACAGACCGCTGTAGATTGCTGTAGTGGGGCGCACTTATCACCATCAGGCCATTCACACGCGCAAATCTGTAAAGCTGCAACGTCTAATTCGTAGCCTTAACATTTTCGTCATCAGCACCGATCTCTCCTCTCTGCCTCTCTGCGTGTCTCGCTTTCCTTATCGTACGCCTCTCTACGCCGACGCCAGCCACGCGACACCTCCTCCCTCCGCCATGGACTGGCACAGCACCTCCAAGGACGTCTTGGAGTTCCTCCTGACGCCCTCAACACCCGTCATCGTCATCGGCCTGGCCACCGTCCTCCTCTTCCCCATCTTCCTCCACTGGCTGCTCTCCCGCTCGACCGCCTACATCACGCTGCCCTCGGTCCTCATCGCAGGCCCGCCCGGCGCCGGCAAGACCGCCCTCGTCACGCGCCTCGAGCGCCGCAGCCCCAAGCCTGCCGACACGTATACCTCGCAGACCGCCAACGTTGTCGAGCTGGCCGTCAACGAGGACGGCACCTCGAGCTACACGGACGACCTCGACGCCTCGGGCGCCGTCGCCAAGAAGTTTTTGGCCGTCGACACCCCGGGCCACGGCAAGCTGCGCGGCGCCACGCTGGCGCGCCTGTCCCACGCCGCCTCGTCCACGGCCGCCGCCGAGAAGACCAAGGTCAAGGCCGTCGTCTACATGGTCGACGGCGCCGCGCTCAGCGAGGACGGCGGACTGGCGGCGGCTGCGTCGTACCTGTACGACATTCTCCTGGCCCTCCAGAAGCGCATGAGCAGCACCCCCTCGTCCAAGGCCCCGCCCGGCATCCCCGTGCTGGTCGCGGCCAACAAGGCGGATCTCTTCACGGCGCTGCCTGCCGCGCTGGTCCGGACACAGCTCGAGGCCGAGCTGGGCCGCATCCGGTCGACGCGCAGCAAGGGCCTGCTGAGCAGCAACGTGGGCGCCGACGACGTGGACAGCACGAACGAGGCGGACGAATGGCTGGGCGAGTATGGGTCCAAAACCTTTCAGTTCTCACAGATGCGCGAGTTCGACACCGAGGTGGACGTGATTGCAGGCAACGTGGCAGGTGCTGAGGGTGCAGGCCCGGGCGTCGACAAGTGGTGGACGTGGATTGCCAGCAAGGTATAAGGGGGGGGGGATGGGAGACAGGGACAGTCAAGTTTTATTTGTTGGGAGCATGGGAGCATGGAAGCATGGAAGCATGGGAACATGGAATCGTTTTTACAGTTTTCACAGTACTTGTAACAACACGAATTACGACTGCACAAAAAACACTTAATCTGATAATAGAAAATCAATTGTAGAATTAGCATCCCAGTCAAATTCAAATATAAATCAAAAGCAACGTAAATTGGACGGGGACACAAAGCAAAAACAAAAGCAATACAAACCCCGGCAAATGCACGAGAACCCTTCCCAGAGGAGAATGTGTGAATCTATGCCCTCTATCCCATGTTGAATATGCTCCGTTATGACATTTGACGATCCGCACTGTTTAGCGGGCGTCATCAGTCTCTGATCATCTTATATCCAAGACCTTTGTGCCTCGCGCCTTGTACGGCACGGTCGGCCGCAACACTTGCCAGACATCACCGCTCGACCCGCTTTACTAGTTCTTCAGCTCCTTCATCATCCACGTCAGGAGGTCCACCTTGGTTACCACGGCCACAGGCTTGGCCGTGCGTGCATCTCCGCTTCTCTCCGTCACAATCGCCGCACTGTTCCACTCCAGGAACCGGCTCAGCACCGACAGCGGCGTGTCCATGGTGATCTCCACGAACCCGCGCTTGCCCTTGCGCCGGTCGGCCTTGGTGCCGGACGTGTCGACCAAAATGTCGCGCGGGTCCGTCACCACCTCGTCCAGCCGGCCAAAGTCGAACATGGCCGCGCTGACGGGGCTCGTGGGTGTGATGCGGCCGCGCGACGTGTACGACAGCAGGTTGCCCAGCGTCACCAGACCCGCCAGGCGGTCGCCCTTGGGCGTCAGCACGGGCAGCTGGTCGAAGCCCTTGTCGCGCATCGTCTCAATGGCATCTTTGCACGGGCTGTCGGCCAGCACCGACGTCACGGGCTTGAGCCGCAGCTGGCGCACCGTGTCTGTGCCGTACGGGTTGCTTGGGCGGCGCTTGGACGGCTCGCTGAGCTTCTGCCGCTTCTCCTGGTGCGCCTGGTGCGCCTGCTCGGCCTCGGCCCCGTTCTCCGTGACCGGCAGCAGGTCGTTGGCGGCCAGCCAGTCGTCGTCGGCAAACTTGGACAGGTAGCTGCGGATGCTGTCCGGCAGCACCACCACAACCACGTCCTCGGGGCCCAGCGCCAGGTCCTTGACCGCGCGGACCATGGCCGCCATGGCCGAGCCGGAACTGCCGCCCACCAGCAGCCCCTCCTCGGCGATCAGGCGCCGCGCCAGCTGGAACGACTCGCGGTCCTCCGTCTTGTACCACTTGTCCACGGCCTGGCGGTCCAGCACGTCCGGCACAAAGTCGTAGCCGATGCCCTCCACCTTGTACGGCGTGTTGCTGCCCTCCTCGTTGAGGCTCGCCGGCTCGGCCAGGATGCTGCCGACCGGGTCCGCGCCAATGATCTTGATGTTGGGGTTATGCTTGTGCAGGCCCTTGGCGATGCCCGAGATCGTGCCGCCCGTGCCGGCACCGGCCACGACCGCCGTGATCTTGCCGTTCGTCTGCGCCCAAATCTCCTCGGCCGTGCCGAACTCGTGCGCCCGCGGATTGTCCACGTTGGTGTACTGGTCCAGGATGTGGCTGTTGGGGATTTCCTTTTGCAGGCGCAGCGCCACGCCAATGTGCGACTCGGGGCTGTCCCAGGCGGCCTGTGTGGGGGTCCGAATGATGGTGGCGCCCAGCGCGCGCAGCACCGACACCTTCTCGGCCGACATCTTCTCGGGCAGCGTGATGATGGTCTTGTAGCCCTTGACGGCGCCCACGAGCGCCAGGCCGATGCCCGTGTTGCCGCTCGTCGGCTCAATCAGCGTGTCGCCCGGCTTGATGCGCCCGCTCTTCTCGGCCTCCTCAATCATGCGCAGCGCAATGCGGTCCTTGACACTGCCGCCGGCATTGAACAGCTCGACCTTGGCGTAGACCTGGGCGGTGATGCCGAGCGACTGGGGCACCTTGTTGAGACGCACGAGGGGCGTGCCGTTGATCAGCTCCAGCACCGATGAGGCGGTGCGGGCGTCCGCAGGCGCCGCCGGCTTCGTAGGCAGCGGGGCAGCCATGCTGGGTGTTGCTTCTGAGTGGAGTGGGAGACAAGGGAGGGTAAGGATTGGTTGTGATAATTCGCGTCGAAGATTGTCGATGATTGTCGAGAGAAATGATACACGGGAGAAGGAGAAAAGGGGAAAGAGCGAGGCTACGAGGAAGAAGAAGGAGCGAGAAAATGGGGAGACAGTCACGAAATAGGAAAGAGCCAACCGACGTCAGACTCTGACAAAATCAAAAGTTTGCCGTACGATTGCGCCTTCCCACCGTGGCGGCAAACCCAAAGCTAGGTGACTGCCATGCAGGTGCAACATGCGAGCGGACCCACTCTTTTTCGTTTCCTGGTGGGGGTTGTGGCCAGACCTGGCCGTCGAGAACGCTCGTGGCGCTTTACGGCGACCTTCCAGGCGTGGACTGGCTCCTGGGTCGTGCTTGCCCTGCGGCAACGAAGATTTCTCAGCTTCCTCTCTCAGCAAGGGCGATCCCGAGACTAGCCGGAGCTAAGCGAGACGACAACTAACACTCTGTGCATGCGCGCATCATCTCAATGTGCACAAGGGTCTTCACCTTTACGAGTCGCAATGTGACCTTATGTGGAAAATAGTACTTTGCTTAATTAAATTTCGATGCCTTCTCACGATGCCACTACAATGACTGGAGGTGTTGATGGGTTGAAATTTCTAGACTTGATTTGTTCTTCCTCTTTTTCTTTTTGTTTCTTTGAAGAGTGTTATTTTGACAGTTTAAAATAAGCAGATTTCTCTTGATTTACTCGTCGATATGGTCAAATGCATCTTCGCCACTCATGGATTATTCTCTTTGTAAATAAATATAAACATGAAACAGCGGCAATTATATTCACAGCTCTTGAGAAGTCGTATTTCCTGTCTCCGGATCGCTGTGCTCTTGTCGGTCAACTTTGTAACGTTAACCCTTCTGTAGCTGTACGTTTCTGGATAATAGGCTGGCTCTTATGTGCCTCTTCCCACGAGCTCTCCCGCTTTGTGGGTCCGTTTTCCTGTGCTTTGTCCTCGGGGCCATCATTCCTACTTTTCTGGCACGGTTTATCCGGTGTATATTCAGATATGAGCCTTCAAAGCTCCCCCTATGCCGCTCTGCTCCCTGCTCCAAATCGGACATCCTCCGCAAACAACAAACGGACGCTCGGGCAACAAGATGCCGAACAGAGTGAGAGACAGAGATGACAATAAAGATTGGAAATTGGGACATTATAAAAGATAAAAGACAAAATAAACAAATAAAGAAAGAGACCAACAGCCACAAGCCGTGCCAACAGTCAGCACATGCCTTAACTCAGTTCGTGCAACCAGACGACGATTATTTGCCAAGCCGCGTCCGACAGCGAGTGGTCTTGATACACGCAATGTGCGTCCTGATTGACGAACATCGGCTTGGTTTATTCTTTTATCGCACCCTCCGCTCTGCCAATGCCCTGTCCTCGCTTCGTTATCACGCGAGCACGGTCCGTCGGCGGTTGGACAGAACGGGTGATTGCCTGACTGTGTACTGCTTGTTGTAGCACCAAGGGACAAAGAGGGCGCACCGGCACTCGTGCATCTATTCCCCGACTTGGCCATTCTTCTCCTTTCATGTCGAAATTTTGTTCTTTATCTGTATGTCGTCTACATCCCGTTAAAGCCTCATTTTTCTGTATTATGTAGATTAGCCGCACCGTCCCTGCAGCAAGCATTAATACCTCGTAATGAGAATACTCTGCATCCTACCGATGCCCAGCCCATCGACATTCCAGAACGAAAAGGGAACGTCAGTGACTGCCCCTTTCTCAGGGGGCTGTCCAGAGACAACATAGCCGCAACGGCAAGGAACCCCCGATTACAATCTGCATCTGCAAGGCACGACGCTCCATCCATCCCCCACACTTGTTCCTGGTTCCTTTGCTGGCCGTCTGGATAAAGTCAGGTCAACTCAGCGTCCTCACCAGGACCCGGGAACGGCAATCTAGACATGTCCCCATAGATGGAACGAATGAGGCTATGGCCGCTTTGAGGGGATAATCAATTCAAATGGCCAAGGTCGAAAGTGGGCAGCATGGAAACAAGCTGTTCCCCAGACAGGGTGCGCATGGCTCTTGTCCTCTTGGCCGTCTGTCTTCATGTCCTCCCTCATAAGTGACACATCTGCCATCCTGTCCTCCCCCTCTGTCCCACCGTCATTTTGAATCTGAGACGAGTTGCGCTTGCCGTACAACAACAGAGAGGACCATCATTGCTTCTGTTGTTTGGTTTCCTCGTCTTGCCACTCGTTTGTCAACACTCCACTCGTTCCGTTATTGATTTTGCTGTCCTCGATCCCTTCGCCTGGCACCATGCATATCCCCGCCATTTTGGCGGTGCCTCTTTTGGCCGGCGCCGTTTCGGCGGCCGTCGGCGGGCCCGGCAGCCAGATCGTCGAGCAGGCCGCGCGTGCCGCCAGCGCCGAAAACATTGTGCCCGGCAACTACATTGTCGAGTTTGAAGACGGGCACGACGGCAGCGAGTTTTACAACGCCATTGCCGCCAACGCCTCCAAGAAGATGGACCTCAACTTCAAGCTTTTCCGCGGCGCGTCCATCCAGTTCCACGCACCCGACGAGACGTCCACGGTCGACGCCACGGCGCAGCTGGAGGCACTGCCGGCCGTCAAGCGCATGTGGCCAGTGCGGCAGTACCGCATTCCGGAGCACACGCGCCACTGGGTAGCCAACCTGTCGAGCGACGACGACCACGTCCGGCGCGCCACCGCCGACGACACGCTGTCGACGCACGTCATGACGCAAGTGACGCAGCTGCGCGCCAAGGGCATCACCGGCAAGGGCGTGCGCGTGGCCGTCGTCGACACGGGCGTCGACTACCTGCACCCTGCGCTGGGCGGCTGCTTCGGCCCCGGGTGTCTGGTGAGCTTCGGGTACGACCTGGTGGGCGACGCTTACACGGGCACCAACAAGCCCGTGCCCTCGGGCAACCCGCCCATGGACTGCAACGGCCACGGCACGCACGTGTCGGGCATCCTGGCCGCACAGGGCGGCAGCAACTCGTTTGGCGTGACGGGCGCCGCGCCGGGGGTCGAGCTGGGCATGTTCCGCGTGTTTGGGTGCGAGGGCAACGTCAACGACGACGTGCTGATTGCCGCCTTCAACCGCGCCTACGAGGCGGGCGCCGATGTCATCACGTCGTCGGTCGGCGGGTCCTCGGGCTGGTCCGACGAGGCGTGGGCGGTCGCGACGTCGCGCATTGTCGCCAACGGCGTGCCCTGCACGCTGTCGGCAGGCAACGATGGCAGCAGCGGCCAATTCTATGCGTCGGCGGCCGCAGACGGTCTTGGCGTCGTGTCGGTGGCGTCCGTCGACAACGCCGTGTCCCCGACCTTGTTTTCCAAGGCAACGTTCGCCGTCAAGAGCGCCGCCTCGCCCGTGGCCAACACGTCCTTTGGCTACACCGCCGGCAGCCCCGCCAACTGGTCGTCCGTCACATTGCCGCTGTGGGCGGACACGTTCAACACCAGCACCGAGACGGACCTCTGCGAGGCCCTTCCCGCCAAGAATAGCACCAACGACCTGTCTGGCTACATTGTGCTCGCCCGCCGCGGCACATGTCTCTTCACAATCAAGGCGCAGAACGCCGCGCGTCGTGGCGCCAAGTACGTCCTCTTGTACAACAACGAGCCCGGCACCCTGCAGGTGGACGTCAGCTCCGTGCCCGGCATTGTGGGCATGGCCATGGTCACGGCCGACCAGGGCGCCGCCTGGATTGCCGCCCTCGCCCGCAACGAGACGGTCCTCGTCGCCATGACGGACCCGCTCACCGCGCCAAAGGGCCTGAACAATGCGAACAACACCGCGTCGGGCGGGTTTGTGAGCAGCTTCAGCAGCTGGGGCCCGACCTTTGACCTCGACGTCAAGCCGCAGTTCGCGGCGCCCGGCGGCCAGATCCTGTCGACCTTCCCGCGCAGCCAGGGCGCCTATGCCGTGCTGTCGGGTACCTCCATGGCCTGCCCGCTCGTGGCAGGCATCTATGCGCTGCTCATTGAGGCCCGCCCCGACCTGCGCAACAACCCGCAGGCGCTCCAGTCGCTGCTGTCGTCCACCGCCCAGCCCAACCTGTACAACGACGGCACCTCGCGGCCCCGTCCGTCCCTGTTGGCGCCTGTCCCGCAACAGGGCGCCGGCCTCGTGCAGGTGTACGACGCCGCGTACGCCACCACGCTCCTCAGCGAGAGCAGCCTCTCCTTCAACGACACGGACCACCACGCCCCCCTGCGCAACTTTACCATTACCAACCACGGCCACACCTCCGTCGTGTACACGCTGTCCAACATCGGCGCCGCCACCTCGTACACCTTTCTGGCCGGCACCGACATCCAGCCCGCCCACTACCCACTCACGCTGCAGGTCGCGGACAGTCCGGCCGCGCTGGCCTTTAGCACGTCCGACCAGTCCACGGCCAGCGGCGACGGCACGACCGTCACCATCCCTGCTGGCCAGCGCCGCGTCGTCATCGTGTCGGCCACGCCGCCGGCCGGCTTGGATCCCGCGCGCTTGCCCGTGTACTCGGGCTACATTGCCATCAACGGATCGGACGGGTCGGGTCTGTCGCTGCCGTACCTCGGTGTCGTCGGCAGCATGCGCTCGCTGACCGTCCTGGACGCCGTCCAGACGTACCTGGGAAAGGTGCCCGCCGCCAGCGGCAACAGCACCAACGCAACCGCCGTGCCCGGGCTGGGCGCCCGTCGCGTGCCCGCCAACACGCTCTTTGTGCTGCCGGTGCGCCTGACCCCCGGCCAGAAGAACCTGACCGATGCCCAGCAAGCGGCGCTGCAGCTGCTGGCCAACGCCAACCACACCGCGTCGCTCGTCCAGACCAACCTCAACTTTGTCATGGGCTCGCCGCTGATCCGCGCCGACTTGGTGCCGATCAAGCTGTGCTCGTCGCCGACGACGCCGGCGCCGGCTCTGCAGGACATTCTTGGGTACAAGACGCTGGGCTCCATCCAGAGCTTCCCGGTGCAGTGGATGTCGCGCGACCCCTTCAACGCCACCTGGGACGGCAGCATGACCGACGGCACCTATGCGCCTCCGGGGCTGTACAAGATTGTCTTCCACGCACTGCACATCTTTGGCGACCCGAAGCAGCCCAGCGACTATGACATTGTCGAGACGGACCCCTTCCGGATAAAGTACCTGGAGGCGCCGTCGACCACGTCGCCGGCCGGCAAGGCCGTGCCCAAGATGATGAGGCGGCAGACGGCGGAATGCCCGTAGAGGAAAGGGTGGGAGGTTTCTAATGTCCGGGATGACGACGACGTTGGATCGACGTGCATGGAGTAGACAGCCTGTTAGTATCGTTGAAAAGAGTAGCAAAACATAAAAGGAAAAGGAGCATCCGAATGAACTACTTGCCTTGTCTGATGAATGCGGTCTTGTCTGGAGCAATAAGCCACGGTATGTGTGCATGTTCACTTCATTTGGCTTCCATTTCCAGCCGCACATAATAGTCGTTGAGTATTGAAGTCGTTGCCACCTTTTTCACTGTGCTTTTATTCCAATTTAAAAGAAGCGGACAAAAATCACCGCCGACCGATCCCGGTCCAACCAACCCAAGCCTCAAAAATCGTGGTATCTAGATTTGCGTGACAAGAAACAAAACAAAAAGAACAAGAAAATCAGAAACAAAAAAGACAAATGGTCAAATGCTTTCCCGCTCCCTGGGTGGGGATTCCAAACCCTCCCAGTCCGCAACGCCATGCAAAAACAGAAAAGGAAATCAATGTCAAAATCGTCGAAACATAAAAAGAAGACTCGTGCAACACATCATAACAGGTCGTGGACCACATGCTGCTCAACAGAAGAACTTGTACATCTTCTTCCACCGCGGCCAGTACAGCTTCTCCTCCTGCTCTTGTGCCACCAGCAGTGGCAGGTTGAACTCGCGCCGGCCCGTGTCAATGTCCATCTCCGACAGCCGCACGTACGTCGTCCGGTACCAGAGCTTGTGCGCGAGCCACATGACCAGCACAATCGGCACGGCCAGGTACTCCAAGAAGAAGTTTTTCACATTGGCCGACGTGCTGGCCTGGCCGTAGTTGATGGGCCAGAGGCCCACCCAGAACTGGGCCAACAAGATGAGCACGTTCATCAAGAAGCCGAGCCAGGATCCGATCGTGCCCGACTGCGCGCGGAATGCCAGCTCCGTAAGCGTGCGGCCGCGGCGCCGCCACGCCATGCGGAAACGGATGTGCGCGAAGCAGATGCTGCCCCACGTGAAGACGCTGCTGAGTGCCGAGATGGCCAGCAGCCAGTTGAGCACGTCCGACTGTGTGTCCACGTCGGCGAGGTAGGCGAGAAAGCCGAGACTCGACGCAACCAAAATGGCCATGAGCGGTCGTCCTCGGCGGTCGATATACGAGAGGATGCGCGGGGCCTGGCCCTGGTCGGCGAGGGCAGCGAGTGTGCGCGAAGAACCAAAGACGGACGAGTTGCCGACAGACACCACGGCAACCAGAATAATCGAGTTCATGACCGAGGGCAGCACCTGGATGCCGGCGCTCTCGATGGCAATCACAAAGGGAGACGCCGTGGCGTCGGCAATGTTTTTGGAGCCGGGCAGCCGAGGGTTGTTATATGGTACGAGCAAGCCCACCAGCGTCAGGGCCACGACGTAAAACAGCGAGATGCGCCAAAACACCTGCTTGATGGCCGTCGGCAGGCTCTTGCGCGGGTTCTGCGTCTCGGCCGCCGCAAGACCAACAAGCTCGGTGCCGGCAAATGCAAACGCGGCCGTCACGAGCACCGAGCAGAGGCCCTTGAAGCTGTTGTTGAAGGCACCCGGGTCGTGCCAGTACTTGCCGCCAATGTAGCCTTCGGTCGGCGTGCCGCCGATGTTGATGACAATGCCGAGGAGGATGAAGCCGACAATGGCCGTCACCTTGATAATGGCAAAGATAAACTCGGCCTCGCCGTAGCCTTTGACGCCAAACAAGTTGATGCTGATGATGACGAGGAGAAATATGGTGACAAAAATGGCCTTGTTCAGGTGTGGATTCCAGTACGTCACCGTCATCGACGCTGCTATAATCTCCAACGGTAAAACGACGAGCCACTGCAATGCGTAGCTGAGTGGGTTAGCAGGTTAGGTAGTCGATGGTGTGTGATTCCAGAGGGGTACTTACTTCCAGCCCATGGCAAAGCCCCAGGAGGGGTCAAGGAAGCGCGTCGAAAAGGCCGAGAACGAACCAGCCACAGGAAAGACGACGGCCAGCTCGCCGAGCGCGTGCACAGTGCAGTAGAGCATCATGCCGATGAACCCGTACGCCAAAAGTACGGAAGCAGGACCGCCCTGCGACAGCGCCTTGCCGGATGCCACAAAGAGACCGGTTCCAATAGAACCGCCAATGGCAATCATCTGCAGGTGGCGGCCCTTGAGCTCGCGAGCCAGGCCCGAGTGAGCCGTAGCGAGGTTGGCACTGTGTAGGTCGTAGAAATGGCTGTTGCGTCCGTTGCGCCCATTGTGCCCCCTGCGGCCACCACCTCTGCCGCCGCCGCCGCCGCCGCCGCCTCCTTCGAGATCGTCGTTGTCAATATCGTCATTGTCGTCCTCGTCCTCGTCGCCACCGTCATGCTGTGGGCCGCCATATCGCATGTTATGCAGAGGGTATCCAGCTCTCCACATCCGGTTGCGACCGGTCCCGTCGCCCGCACTGCTGCCATAACTGCTCCCGACCCGGGCATTAACGACGGAATCGGGTGTGAAATGCACGGTTGGGTCGCGGCGGAATGTGTCGACCCAGCGCGAGAAGGCGTTCCTGGGATGGGCGTCGCCCGTGCCCAGGCCAAACGACGGCCGGCTCTCGGACCCGACAAAGGACGAGCCGCCGCCGCCGCCGCCACCACCACCGAGCCGGGATCCTCGCGTGCTCCGTTCCGGGTCGTCATAGTAGTATCCTGGATCGTTCGTCGTAATGTGGCCAATGCGCGCCCCGCTATCGCCTCCTGCGCTTGTCGAGTTTCGCATGTTGTGGACGTTGGCCGGTTGCAAGCCGTCCTCCTTTATTTTAAAAAACTTCAACTCCAGATCTGGGTCCAACGATGACAAGTACGGCTTCTTCCCCATTGGAGCGAGTTGGTCGATTCGGGACAGGTCCCGTTCGCCGTGTTTGCTCGTCTGTTGCAAAAGAATGCCAATCGTTGTGGCGTCTCTTGAAAGTCCAAACGGCGGTCACACACACCGCTCGCAGTGCCGTGGGAAGGACCTGCTTTTCGTTCGAGTATAATCGACTCTGAAATCGTCGCTTCGATGCGGCTTGTTCGTCCCGGAAGTTACCTCCGATGTGTGTCACAAGTCGCTTGCAAAAGGCCAGATAAATGCAAATAAACAACCGGCTATGAGGTCACGAATGAAGCAGAGGATAAGGTCGTTTGCCCAATTCGTGGAATGGCAATGGGCATTCGGGTCGTATATCGCAAGAGTCGTCGGTGTCCGAAAGAGAGATGCTGTGCAAGATAAGAGACAGGACGTCAATGCGCCCTCGATTCGAGCAGCACGGCGCGGCCGCGAGAGAAGGGACGTCAACGTGAAGGCACAGCCCGCGGTGATCTGCGCTCTGTGCGTTCCTGGCAGGAAAGGCAACGGTTCCCAATTGCCAACTAGGTCGGCCTTGCTGATCGAGCTGGCCGCTGACTTTGTTGCGGTTTACGCTGTCGACAAGTCAGCCCGCGCAAAAGACCATATCCGAGAGTGGGGAAATGACAAAGTCGGGGCGAGGCGAAACGAGTCGGCGGTGTGCGTAATGTTCGGCGAGTTCGGCAACTTGTGTTTTGCAGGTGCAAAACGATTGACGAGTGAAGAGGAAGAAGACGATAAGTCAAAACGAGAGGCGGGTGGGAAGTGGAAATAAAAGAAAAGGATGCGGTGGAGGTGGTGTGAGGTGCTAGTGGCTTTCGAAGTGAGAGGGGGACTGGTCAATCTGGGGGCGGCTTGCGGGCTGGTGCAGGAAGTCAAGAGAAAGAACGACCTGGCGAAAACGTGTGCGGGTCTCGTTCGCTCCTTCTTTCTTAGTGCTTGCTGGCCCTAGTTTGGTTTAGCATAATGTTACTTTACTTGGCTTGAACGATCAATGGAAAGAACGCCACGCTTCCATCGATGGGAAAGAACGAAGGAAGGCGCAAATTGGGGCAGCGTGTATCATGTATACAGAGGAAGGTGCAAGATAAGGAAACGAACGAGATCGTAAGAAAGGTGAGCCTTGTCTTAGAATGCCAACTGAGGAGGTAGAGACGAAACAGCGGTACGATAGCGTCACTTAAGCGGAGACTTGGCAGACCCCAGCCAGTGCTGTAACCAGGCATCCAGGGTCAAGAAACAGCGCGACTAGAAGCCGCTTTGGAAAACGGCACATATGCCATTGTGAAGACATGAAATCGAGGCGACAGGTAGAAACAGTTGGAGAGGGGCTGGGTTATGAACCGGCACGACTTTGTTTGAATTTGCTGTCGTTCTGTCCCCTGGATGGCCCGTTGATACGCTCTACATCTTGCTTCACTTTTCGACGGTCGTCTTCCTTTGCATGTGTGGTTTGTCTCTGTCGCGCTTCAGTCACCCTGTCGGTCGTCTGTCTTCCAGAACATTTCCTTTCTGGTTACACCGTTACGCTGGCTGTGGATGCCATTCTTCCCTTATTCAAGTCATATTTGCTATCGCACGATAAGGGGAGAGGAAGCTATCAAAGCAAGTGGATGATGTCTCCACGAGATGGATCCTGTAAGGCACAGCAGATAGCTGTTGTTTTCGACCCACTCGACAAGGAGACGACAAAAGACGACACGACGTACGTGCTCGATTCGCGATTGCCGCTCTCCTTGATTAACGCCTCCTGCCGTCCATTTCAGGAATCGACTGCGTGCAAGTCATGACAGGACCGCTTTCGGGGGCCTCTCCCGTTGGCGCATGAGAATGACTCGTCGTTGCGTCTTTTATTCTCGTTTATTCCCTCTGCCGTGTCTTGTTGACTGTCTGTTGCTACCGGTTCTTGGATCCCCGGTCCAAGCTCTTGCTGAACAAGGCAGGTGCTTCAAAATCAAAATTTCATGGATACAATCTGATTGCGCCTTACCAATTCCGGTGTATGTCCAGCAGGGCATGGAAAGCAGGTTGACGACTTCACCGAGTACTACACAGTACTACGAACGTGCGACATAGAGGCCTGCACATTACAAACACGTCTTGTCTTTTCCCCGTTTTATTTGCTTGAAGCTGTATCAAAGATGCCCACAACAATGCTGTCCAATGATATAAAATATATACACGACGAGAGAGAGAGAGACTACCATCTCGAAAAGCTTGTGCTTCTTTTCGGCCTTTTCTTTTTCTGAAACAAAATAAATCCAAACACAAAACGCCGTGTACCAACTGCTCAAAATGAGGAAGCGACTGGACGGACCACCGACACCTTGCAGAGTGACGGCGCGATGAACCCATCCCACCGGGCAACTACATATCCTATGAAACAGGCGGCGACACCTTGGCGGCGCCGGCCGGCTTCCGCTTCCAGCCGGTGTGGAAGAGCGGGCCCATGTCGAAGCGCGGAAAGGGGTGCGCCTCCGTGTTGATGACGACCTTGTCGAGCGGCAGCACGTCGTTGGGCGAGAACAAGAGGTAAAAGTACTTGAGCGTCTCCGCCAGCCAGAAGCTCTCCATGTTGTCGCGGCCGACGGGCGGGACGGCGTCGGCATTGGTCAGGCTCGTGAACCCGCCGCCCTCGTCGACCGCCGTGTAGTTCATAAACGACTTGAACATCTCCCAGCCCCACTCGCGGTACATGACGTCGCCCGTGATGCGCCACATGTAGAACAGGCTCTCGACCGTCTCGGGCCGCTGCAGGTTGTGGCGGTCGAGCGGCTTGACCTCAAAGTCGAGGCGCCAGGGCGCGTCGGGGTCCGTGTCGAACGTCGCGGGCGGCATGCGGTGCGACGCCGAGAACGGCGGCGGCGGGTCGGCAATCTTGAAGTGGGTGATCTCGGCGGCGAGGCCCGTGGCCATGTACTTGTACATGCCCCAGCAGGTCTGCGTCAGCTCGTGCGCCAGCTTCATGTCGGCGTCGTGGCGCGCCGTCCACCACGCTTGCTTGCGTGCCGCCGCCAGCGGGAGACCCTCGGTGGCCGCCAGCGCAATGGTGCCGGGCATGAAACAGACCAGGTGGTCCATCTTGGGCGACAGCGGGCGCAGCAGGCCGTCGGGCCGCTCGCCGATAATGGTGAACTGCATGTGCTCCGTGTACGTGATGAGATGCTTCCGGACCGCCGCCAGGGCTTCCTGCCACATGTCCTGGTAGACCGTCTCCTTCTTGTTGGTCTGCAGGTACTGCTTGATGAGGTATTCGTAGTAGGAGTCGCCGCGGCTGCCCAGACGGATGTTCTGGCCCATGAAGGAGCCCGTCGCAGGGTTGATGAAAATCGGAACGAGACCCTCAAACGCACGGCTGCCCTCGTCCACCACCTCCATCACATGCTCGACCTTGTCCCAGAAGAGCTTCTCGCCGGTCAGCTTGGCCAGGTACTTGAACTCCAGCTGCAGCGTCGTCGCCTCGGCGGTGGATGCCGATCCGGAGTTGTCGTGCGCCGGCAGCGGCTCGGACTTTCCAATGTTGACGCTCGACCACGGCAGACCCGTGGGGCTGTCAAACGCCGACACCAGCCGGTCGGCCAGGTCCTTGGCCTTCTCGAGGTAGAGGTCCTCGCCGCCCGTGCTGGCGAGCTGCTTCTCGCTCAGGGGCGCCATGTCCGGGTACTCGTTGGACAAGTAGTGGGCGGACAGGAGGCCGCCCATCATGCGGATGGTCGTCTCAAAGGTGTTGACGTCCTGGTCCTGGTCCCACGTCAGGGACTTGGACACCCACTCGCGGGCGTGTGCGAGCCGTCCCGTCAGGTTCATCAGCATCATGGTGTCCAGCGAGTCGATAATGATCCAGCCCATGCCCTGAGGGGCCATGTACCGGCCGCGCTTGGATTCGGGATAGAACTCGTCCTGGCCTGCAGTGCGGTTAGTCAACGTCTCTTTGGCAAACGCCCGGACGAAAGCGCCTCCGAGTGGCTCTCCTTACCCCATGCATACCGCTCGTAGGCGTCCCAGCTCAGCTCAAAGGCCTCGACCACGCGCTCGCGCCGGCTCAGCCAGTCCACGCGCCCGCGCGCCTTCTCGTCCTTGGTCGACCATGTCCACCCGCGCAGCGGCACACGCTCCCTGTGCTCCTCGAACCAGCCGCGGTAGTACAAAATCGACACCAGCACGAGGACCAGCAGGACCCAAAAGCGTCTGCGCCGGAGCAGCGGCCGGCGGCGCTGCGACGCCGGGTAGCCGTACGGCTTGTCCTTGTACATGGGCAGCGCCTGGCGGTTCCGGCCGCCCGTCGCGGCGTCCAGCAGGTTGCCGGCGGCTCCTATGATTCCCTTGTTCCCTGCGTTGTTCGCACCAGCGCCCGGTCGCCGCGTCGCGGCGGCCCAGAAGTGGTCCTCTGCTAGCCGTTGGGGGTCGTTGAACGTGGGCACGTTGCGCGGCACGGAAAACGCCATGTCGTCGTTGGTGGCAGTCGTAGCTGCAGCGTTGGCGGCCGCGTTGGCGGCAGTTTCGAGCGCGTTCTCGACGGCACTCTCCACGACCTGCCGAACCTCTTTTCCTTTCTCGAGCGCCTGGGCGCCCGCCTCGATGGCTCGCTCGCGGAAGTCAAGGGCAGCCTGGGTCGCAGTCGCGCGCAGGATGCCAATGGCTGGGTTTCGGTGCAAGCCAAAGGGGTCGCGAACGTTCATTGGCGTGGCTGCGCGAGCATGGAGCCGGTCGGCGGGGATAGGAAGCAAAGGGAAGGACGATTGAGGTTGTCGATGCGGTTAACAGGGAAACAATTCGAGACGCTCAAGGAACGTCAAAGTCGAGGGATGTTGATGCGAGACGTGGCCACAGTCGGAATCAAAAGGTGCACGCCGGAAGACAATGAATCGTATGACAGGCTCAGAAGAGATCAAAAAGACAAAGGAGATGAACAACGCCCCCCTTGTTCCTCTACCAAAAACACACAAAAAATATACTCGAATGACTTGGCGAGGCTTGCACTCCAAACAGAGAGAAGCCCGTCAGGGAACCAACGTAATGGGTAGAGGCTAAAAAAGGCCAGTAGTGGATAATAGGACGCCGAATAGGCGCGTCCCACGAGCTAAGACTGCGTCCCAATGGCAGAGAGAGTCCCAGTCTGCAAAAGACGCAATACACGAGATCGTCTCGAGTACGTAGTTTGGACTAAACGACGGCAGCCTGTTGGATGGCAAGAACACAACATCCTTGGAATAGACAGCTTGCCTTTCGCGGAGCTCAGAATCTCCGTGCCGTCCGAATGTCCGGCAGAAAGCGCGACCCTGGGACACACATGCGAAAAGGACAGTTCGGGGGGCGCTGGCCTGCTGTCTTAAAATGGAAACAGGCATGCTCCTGCCCCCTTGACGAATTAACTGCTGACTCGCGGGAAGGCGCAGGGCGGCCGTATTAGTGGGCCACAAGGGCATCAGTGCTTCTTTTAGACGGGGCGTGCTGCAGTGGCTGGCACCCTGTGGCTGATCAGGGCGTACAGTATGAGTGCGAACAGCTGGTTGCTCAGCACTGTATTGTCGTCACTCCGTCTCCATACAAACCAGGCTGCCCCTCTTCTGCAAGTCGGGCGCGGCTCAGCCCAACGTATCTTACACGTGCGGAGGCCGGAGTCCTCCGCCTTACCACTGCCAGCTCAACGAGACTAGGACTTGGAGAACAGTTCTAGACGTTCTTTTCTCCCCCTCCGCGCCCATACCAACTGCATAGCCTCGTCCTTTGCACTTTTTTTTTGTCAAGGCACTGAATCGCGTATTTCAGGACGGCATACTGTCTTTGACATACTCCGTTGGCGTTCTACTTTGTCTTTTGTCGATACGTTCATTCACGCCATTCAACAACCTCCGCTCTCACCACCACTCGTACCGCCATGGCCAAGGACCGCATCACCTGTCATATCCTCGACACGGCCCAGGGCCGCCCGGCGACCGGCGTGCGCGTCCGCCTCGAGCTCGTCACCCCGTCGCCGTCGTCCTTTTCGTCGTCGGCCGGCGCCTCTGCCACCACCAACGGCGCGTCGGCGGCGGCCACCGCGGCCCCCCTTGAAGCGGCCCCGCACAGCCACCACCACGGCCACGCCACCCAGGTCTTTGAGTCGCAGACCAACGAGGACGGCCGCGTGACCGTGTGGCTGCCGTACTCGGCGTCCAACGCGTCCGGGGATGTGCCGGTGTACACACTGGACGACGTCCTCGACAAGGCCGAGGCCGAGGCGGCGGCCTCGGTCGCCGGAAGCGGCAACAGCGATGACTCGGCCGCCCCGCCGCCGCCGCCGCCCACAACGTGGACGCTGCGGTTCGACACGGACGGCTACTACGGTGCGGGCAAGGCCTTCTTCCCCGAGGTGGCGGTGACGTTCCGGGTGGCCGCGGGGCAGCACTACCACGTGCCGCTGCTGCTGAATCCGTTCTCGTACACGACGTACCGGGGCAGCTGAAGAACGAACAACGCCTCGCACAGCAAGGCATTGGGAATGAACAGCATGGCGAATACTGGGAGAGTGGGTTGACGACCTTGCCGGATCAAGTAGGGCTTGTATGGTTTCTTATAGCAACACTGCATATTCATTTGTTTGCATTGCGATTTATCTTCTTCCGTGGTCTGCTTTTGTGACAAAATAAAAATATGTTGATACTACGCTGTGAAGCGTTTTGGCGTCCTATCCAGTAGGAGGAGCTGTTTTTGGGGGTTGTAAATACAGAGGAAAAGAGCGACCTGTAAAGCAGCGAGTGTGGCTTGCATGATCGAGAAAATTAATGACAAGACAAACGTCCGACAGGATACCAAAACAAAACTAGGCCGTCGTAAAAGAGTCGTTAAAAAGAGAGAAAAGGTACGCCCAAATATTTGCCTCGCTTTCCAGCCTCGCTTTCCAAACTCGTTTTCCACGGCAAATTATGCAATAAACCCCAAATATCCCAAGCAAAAATACTCCAAAGCGAAATTCAAAAATCAAAAAAAAAAAAGGAAAAGGAAAACGATTGGTCAGGCCGACGCAGCGGATTTTGAGATTGAGGTGCAGCAAAACAGGCGGCGCCCCAGATATCCGACAAACAGGCTCGTCGTTGATTGTGTCTGCTGTGTCTCTTGCGTCTGTTGTGCTTGCTGCGTCTGCCCTGTTTGCCGCGTCCGCAGCCGCAGGATCCAGAGCCGGGCATGCCTCTAGTCGTGGTGTCTGAACTTGCGGAAGACGCTGCCGCTGCGGGGGAATCCGCTGTGCGAGATCGTCGACTGGCCGCTGACGCTGCTGGTGCGGCCGAGTGTGCCGTTGATGCTCCGGAGGCCAGCCACGTCGCTGTGGGCCGAGGAGGACGGCCGGTTCAGGCTCTCGCTGCCATCCTTGGACTGCCGCGAGTCCGTGCGCAGAGAGCCCGCTGATGATGAGACGTCTGTCCGTGATGGGATTTCGACAATCGATGACAGCTCGTTGTAGGCCTGCAGCTCGGCCGCCGTGAGCTTGCCATGGCTCAGCGGCGCCCGTTTGTTCTTGTGCAAAAACGACCGCCGTGACCGCATGTAAACGTGATCGACGGCTATGTCATCAGAGGAGATGCAGGCGTCGGGGGAGGTGTTGGCGTCGGGATGCCGCAGGGTCGTGTTGCCGTTGCCACAGAATGGTTCAGGAAATCCGGTGTCGTAGTCCCGGGACGAGCGGTTCGAGAGCGTCGGGCTCTTTGGCGGGACGGAGTGCATGATGGAGTCGATACTCATGACGGACCAACTTTGTGTTCGTGTTCTGGAGGAGAGTCTGCGCATGGTTGTTTAGTATTGGGAAGCCGTGAGAAAGTAAAAGGAACAATCCGCTTTCTTTCAAGTTTTCTGCAAGACGTCGCAGTGGTGTGAAATTGTTGACAGGGGATGATGACAAGGATAGGGTGGGAATTCAAAATATGGATGGGGTTTGCAATTTCAAGTGAAGCTGAAGCTCTGTGCATAGAGAACTGCTGTTGAATGGGGGCTTTGAAGCCTATTTGTGTGAAAGAAGAGATATCGGTGAAGCAGAAGGAATGGAGTACCATGTGGTCAAAAATGGGAACAGATGCATTTCAGCATACAACAATGAGATTGTGTTACGGACAAACGCCAAGAAAACGGTCAAAAGAACTGGCCGGGAACCTCTGGCGAGCTCCCGGGCTTTTTAAACGAAGCATAGACAGGTGCCAAATAAAGCAGAGGGACTGCAAGGGGGAGAGGGGGAAGAAAGGAACGGGATAGAAAAACAAAAGAGAAATGAGGCGTCAAAGAGACCTGTCAAAAGTGGGCACACCGTCTCGTCAATTTTGCCGTTATGCACAGAAGAAATTGACAAAACGCGATCTTTGGCCGTCATTTTTCCTCCTGTTGTCTGCGAGATGGGGTCTAGAATGGTCCAGGAATCCGTCGCTTGAAAGGATTGGATAATCCGTTTCCATTCCGCAGGCATCGTCTTGATGCCAGTCTGAACAAGATGCATTGTTTTATGTTTTGTGCTGTGCCACTTCTTGTTCCTTCTTCTCTGTGACAAAGGTAACGCAACGCAAGAGGACGTGCAAAAAATGTCGGGGAATACCAGAGACGGAAACAAAGACAAGGACACAAAGGACGCGCAATCAGGCGGCAGCAGGTAGATGTCGATTCAATGTAGATGCAGGAGCAAAAAATAGAAACAATGGAAATAGTTAAAACAACGGGGCAGGTGGGTAGCCGTGTCGGAATTCAAACAAGGGCATCGGAGGCTCGAAGTGAAGCAGACGAAAAGCAATCGAGTGGATGAGAAAGGCTCACCTTGAAAAGATGTTGTCAAGCAAAGTCGAAGAGGCAGGGCCGTTTGTTCGACTAAGCGCGCGGCAGCAAAAACGAGGGCGTCGTCGTCAGACTGTTCAGAGCGCGGTTTGGACAGGGGTGTGCGGATGACGGGAGCCAAGAGCTGGTGAGAGTTCCTAGGCTTCGGCTGTTACAGGTTGCCGGAGCGCGCGAATCAAAAAGTGTCCTCTTTCCTAGAAAAAAAAAACCAAAAAAAAACAAAGAGTCGATGAAAGGGTATTGGCGATGAAGATGAAAGGCGAGTCGTGAAAGACAAGGCCCCAGGGGTAGACTGGCGTTTATTGATTTCTGGGCGAAAGAAGAAATGCGTGGCAGGAGAAGGCGTCTGTTTGTAGCCACAAAGGGCGGCACCCACAGTCTTTAATACGAACGGATGGGGCAAGACTCGCCGTACGGTTCGGTTGATGTGAGTTGTCTGGAGGTGGCACGGTTTGGGCCAGGGCCGTTGAGTGGTCGAATGCTTTGCTGTCGGAGATGGAATAGCGAGAAAGTAAAGAGGAAAAAGTAGACGAAGGAAAGGGAGGGCGCGATGGAGGCGACGACAACGGGTGAAGGGGGGTCAGGCGGTAGAAAAGGAAGAGAACGTCTGGAACAAGGTGGTCGATCGAAGAAGTCGGAAGCGGTGAAGAGAGTGTGGCGTCCAGAGAACGTCCCATGGGGATTCTTAAACAAAAGACTCATATGGACTCTGAATGGGAGAAGTGCGGAATTGGAATGGGACACAGAGACGAAGCAACTCTGAGTCTGTGCAAACGCAGAAGGTGCAGACCGGCTGCGTCACTGCACGGCAACGTAATGCCAATATGCATGGCGTGCCGCAGCGAGGCAACAAGGTCGCTGCTTCCGGTTTGGCGAGCTTGTGGCCTGGCAAGTGCAGCTTGAGCAACGAATACAGGTATTGCCCCAAGTTGGGGCTCTGCGTCGTACCTTCCTCGCCAACATTTTGGCCACCAGCGCCTTCCTTTGTGAGAGACTGGCTGTCATTTTGCAAGCGGCCTTAGTAAACAAGAATAAAACAGTCCCGGCACAAACGATCTCCAGCGTCGATTTCTACCCAGCTGGTGCGCCCGAGCCGAGCTAGGACGGTGGTCCCTGCCTCTTCAGGAAAAATGTCTTGGCAAGGAACCCACTCGTAGGGCGCGAGGTTGGGGAGAGGGGAGGTCGTCTTGCCTTCTCTGGCCTTCAGTGCATTTGTATATGTGTAATACATCGTCGTTTGTATTACTTGTTCTTTTCTCTTCGACGGAGATTCTTTGGCATCTGTCGTTCTTCTCTTGCTTTGGCGCATCTGTCGTTCTTCTCTTGCTTTGGCAAACCAATAGTCTCTGGGTCTCATTTTCGTACTCCATACCTTATTTCCAGACCCTCTTCTTATTTCTGCTTTTCTGCGGCGATTGTCTCGTCACTCTTCTCCTTTATCGCCTTCCTTTGACGGACTGATGGATATGCGGCTTTTTGTCTCATGCATGTCACCTTTCCACTTCTTCTGCCCGCAGATGGATCCTGCCCAAACGATCAAAGCACAGACACCAATACATGTACCCTGTATGGAGTAGTGCGTACGGACGACATGTACGTACGCGACAGTAGGCGCAGGGACTCTCTGTGCCAGTCGCGGATGCGCATGGGATGTATCCCGTATTGGTGGCGTGGGCTGGCACCGGCGCTCTGGACTGGCTGACAGGACATGTGGTTGTGCTGCCGACGGGTATGCCATGACTAGTACGGAAGTAATATGCCCGTATTTGCATCTTCATTTCGTCGTACCCGCCATAGGGGGTAGGCTATGTTTAAGACGAGTAGTGTAGGGAAGTAGACGACTTTACGGGGACAATACGAGAATGGCCGACAGACTTGGAGGTTTGTTTCGTCTCCTCTTGAATTCTGTGGCAAGATCGCCTTGAGCCATATGTCGAACACATGGTCATAAACCACTGCTGTCTTTGTTTACGTGTGTGAGTGTGAGTGTTCTTGAGCAGTTTGCCTTTTGCGTTCTTCCGGTCGTGCTCTCCACAAAAGAACATGGAGACTGAGCAGGTATTATTACGGAGGGCATCGTAGCCACTAAAAATGTCCACCAATATTCCCCACCCCCAACAAGTTTGTTCCCTTCCTTGCCTTCCAGCACCGGTTTTGAGCAGTTGGGGGGTTAACGCCGAGGCTGGCTTCGCCGACGCCAGGCCCTCTCCAGTGCGAGAGGCAGCCTTTCTGCCCTGCGCCTCACAAGTTCGTTGCATTGTCCTTGAGACGAGCAGGCACCGATATTTCGCTCCCCTGCAGTCGTAAGATATTTGTAAACTCAGTGGCGGCAAAGACGAGCAAACGTGCAGCCGACAGAGGCTTGGCCATCGCGAATCGCCCAGACCAGTCTGAGCCTGTTTTATGGTACGCCATCTCGGCTGTCTCGATTGGACCACGCATCACCAGGGCCAGCTTGGCTCGCCGGACACTTGACACAGCAAACACAAAGCACAAAGCACAAATCACGGTTGGTATCATGCAGCGGCCCGGCGTTGTCCGTACCCTGTTCCACTGGAGAGTACCCAACAGGGCGCACCCTTGTGCAACGCTTGTATTGTATCGCTGAGACACACACCTGTTGTAAGTGGAAGAAATGCTGCGGATGTCGACAGGCTCTGTGAATGGGAAAAGAAGAGCAAGATAGATGCAAAGTGATTCGTACTCCTTCGGAATTCCACAAGAAATCAGGAAAGACTTGGAAGGCCCGCCCATGCCCATCAAAGAACAGATCGTCGCGTCTCAGACACATGTGCCGGTTTTCTGCAACCTGTTGGCGGCCTGCGACTGGCTTCCAACTGGCTGAAAGGCTGTTTCTACACTTTCCGGCTCGTAACCTCTTGTAACCAATTTGAGAATATGTGAATATATATATTATATATTATACTTCCCGATATTGGACATTGTGATACGGAGGTCCATCGGCAAACCCGGCGCTGAGAACACCCTCCCGCTGGTGCGTGCCAAGGCCCTGCCAAGAGAACTCGCGGCGGGCAGGTGAAATCGGAGTGCTGGCGGTGCGCTGGGTTCTTTCTACGTAGCGAGAATGCATAGTGGTTTGCTTGGATGGCCTGATTGAGTCCAGGTCCACACCACTGCGCTAGCTGAGATATTCAAAGTACGCCTCTTTGGGCGAGAAGAATCGAGGACAGGAGCGAGCTGCCTTTTAATGCCCCCGAGGGACGACAAACTATTGGCGTTTTGCATCACGGCCCTCCCCTTGTTTCTGTATGGATCATTGTGACAAGGTAGCCATCGCTGCTTCACCACTCGTCTCGACGAACGTGACATGTAGACAAAGCTGGCATTCCAGTTGCCCCTTCGTGCCTGTGCGACTACAGCGTGCCCGGCCCGGTGCAGCTGGAGCTGCTGTCTGTCTCGTCGTTTCAACGGACGGCGCACGGAGCAATACACGAAACCGACCCCTCCCCCGCCCCAAGCATTTCCCCGCGTCTTGTCTCCGAGGGAGCAACATGACCGGCGTCGCTGCAAACCGGTCTAATTGTTGCTCGAAAGACGAGGTCATCGGGAGGATGCAATGAACGATCACCTGCCACTCCGTAGTCTCACTGTCGTCGGGCGGTGTCCTTCCTTGTTGGCGTCCTGGGCTGCGCCTGCCACTGCCACGTGAAGACGGGAGACGCCTTCCGAAACGGGCCCCTGGTGGTGCTCCATGTCCGTTCTCCAAAAAACTTGGATACCTTGGGCCCTGCCAGCTTGCGCAACTTGTTTTGTATCTCTTGCTGCATCTGACCTCGGCGAGCCTATACACTTTCTTGCATGCGAACAATTGGACAGTTTGGGCAAGAGATCTGCTTTCAAAGTTCGTCAACTGCCTTAACCCAACTTGCGTGGTATCCGTTGCGACATAAAGTCTCGGTGCATCGCTCCTTCCTCGATACATTTCAAGAAAAACAGAAACAACTTGGTAATCGTCGAATGGGAAAGGGCCGGCCCGTTCAACGACCGTCTCGCATAGCGCACAATTTCACCGCTTCTTCGTCGTTCTTTCCTTCCTTTGTGACAACAGCAGGTAGCTTGCGCCCTCCTTTTCAATCCGCATTTCCTTCTCTTGCCCTCTCCATCTATTTTCCTCTCTTCTTCCTACCTACGATCGTCGCATCGTGCATTTCAGCTCATGCCGGTATGAGACACTGACAACTCAAAGAAAGCAGAGCCCAGTCATCTTCCGAAAGTAAAGGCCCAATCACAAATGGGTTCACAAGCGGCCACCGCGGCGGATGTACCCGCCGAGAGCACCGATCTCAGCCGTGAATATGATACGCCCATGGGCCTCGCCCACACCACCATGCAGGCCCTCAAGGACCGCATCAAGCTGCACTACGACCTGGCCAGTGACTACTATGTCAGTCTGTGGGGCGAGCACATCCACCATGGCTACTGGCCCACGGACGAGTCCAAAGCCAAGGAGAGCAAGGAGACTGCCCAAACCAACTTGATCCGCCTGTTGCTGTCCATCTCCGGGCTGGACAAGGACAAGCCGGACAGTGGAGCCAAAGAGCTGTCGGTCCTGGACGTAGGGTGCGGTGTCGGCGGGACATCGCGCTACCTCGCCTCCGACCTCGGCGCGCGCGTCACGGGCATTACCATCTCGACGCGGCAGGTCGAGCTGGCCACGAAGCTGGCCGAACAGCTGGCCACCGAGGGCACGGCCCCGACGCCCGCTCCCGCTGCTGCTGCTGCTGCGGACGGCTTCCTTGCCGTCGGCAAGGGCCACGTCCGGTTCCTCGAGCTCGACGCCGAAAAGATGGGCGCGTACTTTGCTGCCGACGCCGACCGGTTTGACGTGGTCTGGATCAGCGAGGCCCTCAGCCATTTCCCGGACAAGGCCCTCTTCTTTCGCAACGCCTACCGCGTCCTGAAGCCCGGCGGCAAGCTCGTCCTCGCCGACTGGTTCAAGGCCGAGGGGCTCGACACGGCGGCGTTTGACAACGACATCAAGCCCATTGAGGACGGCATGCTGCTGCCGCCCATGTGCACGCAGGCCGGCTACGTCCAGCTCGCCACGGAGGCCGGGCTGCGGGTCCTGGCCCCGCCCAAGGACATTTCCAACGACGTCAAACAGACTTGGTAGGCGCAGCCCCCCCCCCCCTCCCTACCTCCACTGGCCATTTGACCGTGTTTGCATTCTGCATTCCCCCTTTCTTCTAACACGACAATAGGGACCTCTCGTGGGCACTGGTCCAGAAGCCGGCGCTGTGGGCGTTTGCGCTGAGCCAGGGCCGCGACGGTATTGCCTTTTTGCAGGCCTTCCGGGCCATGCGGCGCGGGTACGCCAATGGCACGTTCCGGTACGCCGTCATGAGTTTTGAAAAATGAGCTGGTCTCACGCGGTCACCCGGGATGACCGATATGATAGGACAATAAATACAAAAGCGAGCCTGATTTTGTATAACCATCAAGGCAGTAGCGAACTCGAGGTCCTTGCGCGTTCGGCGAACCGAAACAAACTCATTGACGACAGGACTAAATGTGCTACAAGTTTTCTCTCGTCCTTTATGATGATGGCGTCCCTTTGTGCGTCTCCAAGATTCTGCATTATGTATGATGTGGGATACTTTGTAAATATCCCAACTCGCCGACTTGTCGACAGCCAACCGCACTTTGCCAACGATCACCAATAGCTACCTACTGCCTGTCAATACACGACATACTCAAAGGGTGCTGACGACAGAGCAAACAATGCCCCGAATACCGCGCATTTGTGAAATCTTGAGAACAAGGTATGGTCATGGCGTTTTGGTGACTAGGCACTGGATTTACAAAGGGCCAGGAGCATATGGAGGCTGTCAAAGTGGAAACTGCACAGGCCGCTGCTTGCTGGGTCGTTCGCCTAACTAGTCCCCTCGACGATCTCCAGAAATCCAGTCCTTGTGTGGTGATGTTCCATTGCAAGATATACAGTCGATGAGGCCAAGTTTCGCCATGCCGCATCTCATCACCACCCCCCCCCCCCCCCACGGGCAGAGTAAATGCGTAGTCGTTAAGCTCTCCAACATTTTCCTACCTACCAGGTCATTCGTTTGATAGAATCGTACTGTATTGGAGATATTGTGCTGGAGGGTCGGGATAAAAACGCTTGGAACAAGGTAATACTGAAGCTCCTCCATGTTTAAAACGTAAGACGGATTAAGAGTAGTAAAATATGACTAAACAAACAGAATAAAATAAAATAAAATAAAAATAAAAATAAAAACAAATGTGAATACTGTTATTAAAGGAAGTGTGGCAATATATATGCAGGTCACCATCAAAATAAGGCACGCGTCGATGTTTCATAATATGTGCCCTATAGGTGCTTAACTTGGATGGTCCTGTCTTTGGTTTATCGAATTAGCTACTATGCCACATTGACAACGTTGAGAAGCAACTAAGATCTGATGAAATGACTCTGGGGCTGTCATATTGCATGTACATATACGGCCGTGGCTTTGCGTGCTGCACACACCTTTTGCATGTTGGCCTGATCCATGCGTGGGGGGCGTTTCCTTCATATCTGTCTCATTTGCACTTCAAATAGCCGCCCAAGGACCCGAGTATCAAACAAAGTGTCTTTATGCCAACGGTTCTTTAGCGACCGCAGCATAAATGGCATGCCTGTCATCATCTTAATTCTCTCGTGGTGATACTAAAGCATGACAGAACCGCACGTCGTGTGTTCTGGAAAAGGCCAAAAAAATCCGAGGCTGTCTGCACGATTGGGTATTGCCACATGGCACAAGGGCCGGAGTGCACCCCCCCGGCAGGTTTCGAAGCATCCTTTCGTCTTTTCTTGGATCGGGGTGTTTTTCGTTACACGTTTCCCAACCAACTTGTTCTCGTCCTGTTCCCATGGCAAAGGATCCAAGATTAGACTTTTGGGATGAGGTGTTGTCCGCAACGGAAGAGAACATTGACGTAACGTCTACTTCTCGTTTATTCTATTTATTTAATATCAACATTATTATTTCCCATCTCTTTGCATCCTTTCTCTCGGACAGTCCTGGGGGCTGTTATTTTCGTACGGCCCGCTACGGTGGTGGAGATGATCGACAGTGTACCGGCTTGACGAGGGCGGGAGCCAAAATAAATCGAAAGGGCCCAATTCTTTTCTTAAATAGAAGGTGTAGGATACCCAGATGCTTCCTGAGCTTCCCTGCCTCTGCCTTCGCCTGGCTCATTCATCGCGAGACACGTCTACGTAGTGGCGATGCTGATCATCGCGTATTGCGTTTCACGTTTTTACTGGGGACGCCACTCGACTAGCACGGATAGGCAGAATGCAACGGCTAATATGGAGCAACGTGGAGTAGCAGTGCATCGGGAGGTTCCAGTGTCCATTGTTTTTGACAACCGTCTTTATGGTTTCTGTCCAGTAGCTGTTTTACACAGAAAGGGGGCGACGCTTACGACGTACGGAGTACTTTACTATCCATAAACGAGTAATTGAGGTTGATGTATGTCGTACGGGAATACGGAATATGTAAATACTACTCGAGCCGGAGAACCAGGATAACGTTTCTTGTTTACTCTTTTTTTTTCCCCTTCCCCTTTGTGTTTTCTTTTCTTTTCTTTTCTTTTTTTTCTTCTTTTTTTATTTTTTATCTCACTTCTAAGTCCCCTGTGACGTTGCATGCGTATCGCTCTCCCAGTGGAATACGTATGCAGAGTAATCCATGAATTTGAGATAGCGTTTTTTCTGGCAGGGATCTGCTGTTCGTTCCCAACCTTTGCAAATGCTGAGAACTGGCCTTTTGTTCTTGACCGAGGTCTCGCTCTCGTGCACCGACTGCTTCGAATGAAGCTTGTGCACGGGTATGTACAGAGTATGGATTCATTATTTCGTACATTGTGTGTATTTATTCACGTTGAAAGGTCGCACGCGCGATTCGTCCCGCGTCAGCCAGCTCCTTTTCTGAATACCGTCCTTTCTATAATGGAGGGGGGAGACAGAGGTCAGTGCTCTGCAGCGAGGAAGCACCATTTTGGTGACGCTCTGTTGTTTCGAACCCCCGATGACTGCATGCGAATGAACCATGGAATGGCCATCAGCGGAACAGGGAACAAGAGGATGGTGCAGCCGGACTGGAAAGCTCTGTGCTTGCACGGAGAATGATGTGCACAGAAAAGTGGGATGTGACAAAATAAGCAAGCAAAGTACGACGTATGTTTTAATAAAACAACTCTGGTCTGTGGATTTGTTGGACCACCTGTCTGTCAGAAACTAAAATGAAAGCTTTCTAGCAATTGACACAGGCCGCATATTGCAAAAATGGTCGAGAATGGTTTGTTTTTGAGAACACACAGCCTACTTTGTGCTATACATCTTACATCTGTATTAAGTGTCAAGTCGTGCGAAAACCCCACAACTGCAATGCAAAGTTTGACAGGTCGCACGTGGTGGACGGAAATTGTAGCATGTCATCCACAGCAACTACTGTGGAAATTGCCTATGTTTTTCCCCTGCTCGTGAGATAGGAGGCTGGCTGTTTTAAGTTGCTTTCTCTATTGCGGTGGATATGGGCGAGGCCTTCGAGGAGTGTTGAGAGTGTATTTTGTAGTTTGTCATTTTTGTTACAAAATAATATGCTTTATTGACTACTTCTTTTGGTTGTCCAAACTACACGTCAAGTCACCTGAGTCAACCTGACATATTCTCAATTCATCGAAAACGGCAATAACTCACTGCTGGCAGTTTTCCATTATTTTTGATCGCCGAGTACGTCTGACCCTGCCTAAGTTTGATTTTTTTTTCTGTGGGAAGGGGGGGGGGCTTTTGTTGTTGTTGGATGAGACCCGGGCGGATGCTTTAGAGATGGTTAATTCTCCGCGTTCTCTGATGCGAAGACATGCATGCTTCGTACTGTACGAAGTGTCTTGCTTTAAGTGTCTTGCTTTTATGTCATATGTACGCACGAGCACAGACAAAAAAAAAAAGAAAAGAAACAAGCAGAGAGGGCTCGTGTGTCGTGCTAGGATCCAGGGAGTTGGAAAAGAGGTCCTTCCCCTCTTCTGTTCGTGCTGTGACCGCTATGGCTGGACGCGGGGGTCTGCTAAACCTGTCTTGCTTGACCGGTGCACACTCCGACAGACGCGGGGATCCTGGACGAGGTGTCTCCGAATGAGAGGTCTGAATGGGAAAGTTTGCCCACGGCCCAAGGGAGAAGAAAAAGACAGCAACAGCACTAATAAACATGCATTCCATTTCTGTTAGTTTCTTGCTATTGTCCGTTAAATACTGCCCTTTACGAGCTAGAGGGACTCACGACTTGGACATGTCTCTTCTTTCCAGCCCTCCGTTGCTGGTCCACCCTCAGGATGCCAATATATATAAATACAGAACAACACTAAAACCAGACAATCAGAGTAAAAGAAACCAAAAATAGTAAACGCCGGATCATTTCCACAGTTCCCGACTCTTTGTTTATTTGGACGGACGCTGGAGGCGCGCCTAGAACCAGAATATCGCAACCTTGGGTTTGATCCAGCCTCTTCAGATGGGAGAAAGAAAAAAAAGGAGTGTCATGAGTCGGGGCTGTCCAAGCTTTTCGTTCCCGTTTCCCGTGTTCGTGCGTACCGCTATTCCACTTTGACCACACCTGTGCCCATTTGGTTTGGCTCTTTGATCGTCGTGGCCTCACTATTCTCGCTCAGACATGCCTCACTGGATACCACTATAGCAGGCGCGCAGACGACTTGTCAGGTTTCGCCTCCTCCACTCTGGTAGCAACAACACAAAACCCACACAGACTCTTTCAAAGGACGCAGGACCCATGAACTTGACAGGCTAACCGGTTCGTAACACACAGACAGTTTGGAGTAGTTTCTGCATATTGTGTCTACGGAATGCTCTGTGTTATTGGTGATTTGGAAAACAAGGGAATAAATAATAGGACGTAACAGAGAGTATCTGGACACTTATGTCTGATTCCATGGCGAAACTGGGCGCCAGTCTGGTCTGGTATCTCGAGTGGCTACCCCCTTGAATCCTCTGAATCCTCTGAGATTGAATGTTCATTTCCATATCCCAATATATCTTATATTAGCATGCTGTATTATTCTCGCCCTCAACTCTGCCTCGTGGCATCCCTGCGCCCTCTTTTCTTCCGGTCCGCTTCGTCTGATCTCCACTGCGCCTCTGTAAAGCAATGATGGCTTCTCAAACCATGGTTGTCGTACGATGACCTCCGTACGAAGTACAACATATATGGTTACTTTCCTTTGCTTCGATATCTACGACATACAGCAAAAGTCTGCCAGCACCAGTTGACTTACTGGCAGAGTCTTCATGGACCCCCCATTGATACTGTACACAGTCTGTTGGCTTTAACCGTTACCACCCGCCGTGGCCACTGCCCTTACGCAACTCCCGTTGTCCCTGTTCGTCTTTTCCTTTACGCACGATGCATCGCTGTAGGTGGTGTTATCGTCAACGGGCAATTCACCGTTTGTGTGCTTTCCTCGTTTCTCACTGTGGGTACTTTGGTCTCCGTCGCTCCTTCTTCACCGTCGGACCACGAGTACGCTACTGCAACGTCCTTCTTCGGAAACCCCTATTTCGTGCGGTGGAGAAACAACATTCGACTGCTCCTTCCATCATATGAGTACGCCGTAGTCCCGCACGATGAGCTCAATATGAGTTATCGCCTGTTTATGCTTGATTTTCTGATGCCGTATGCACATTTTCATGACACTTGTGAATTTACGTTGGATTTCTAGACTGTATGTTTTGTGCAGTACTTCAGTACTTTCCATTTTCAGACTGACAACCAAACCGGTAAACAGGCAGGCGCCTCCCATATCGCCGGCTGCTTCCTTCCCTTGCCCACCAGTGTCTCATTCGTCGCATCCTTTCTTTGTCCTTTGTTCCCTCGCTCCTGCCATTTGTGCCGCCCTAACTCGCACTCCTCGTAGCACACAAAGCTCCGTTCTTTCCTTTCTTTCAGGGCCCGCCACGCACATTACCCACTCTTGTCTCCCGTTCCTGCTCTCCTTTCTCTGCCCTGTCAGCCCATGTTCCATGCAATAAAAGTCTCTGGCGTTATCCCTTTCGTTCTCCTACAGTAGCTCCTCGACGATGTAAGCTAGACAAGGGGGTTCCACACGCACTCTCACCTAGCCCATCTTTCCACTAGCTTGCTGGGTTAGTGTCGAACGCTGCTACCCTTTTCCTGGCCCATTCTGCGCCATCGCCCGTTGCGCCTTCCCGCTGCGCAAAACCAAGACGCCGAACAAATCGTCAGCTCCTTCTGCGTATGGCTCCGTACTGCAGCACCTTCTAGCCTAAAACAGACGACCCTTTCATCAATTCCATCCCCCTACCCGCGGGTCAATCATTGCGGCGATCTCGTCTGGGTTGCTCCTTCTGCGAAAGCATGCTCTCACCTCCGTGATTTGTCCTCTTGATTTCGACTTCTCAATTTTTGTGTCTTGTTTTATTTTCTCCCATCTCGCACTCTTCCCGCGGCACTTTGGCATTTTCCCCTTCTTCTTCCTTTCTCCGCTGCACAAACCAGACCGGGGAGAGAAACAAGATCGCCGATTGCTGTTGTTCTGTTCTCTTCGTTTTCTGCACCGCTCTCCTTTCTTCGCTCACGTCCGGGCCCTTTTGTTCTTACCTTTTCTTTTTTTCTTTTTCTTACATACGACTCTCCTTTTTTTCCCTTCTTATTTCCTCTCCCTTTTATTCTCCGGCCCTCTCTCCTTTTTCTTCAGGCGACAAGTGCCTGCCCGCTGAGCCACGATCACCACTACCGAAACGCGACACGATACGAGACGACGGACCCTAAGACATAAGACCGGCCAACTCCTTAACGACCTTGGCATACTAAACGGCGCCGGACACTTCCTCTTTGCGATAGGCGACAAACCTTCTTCAGCCCTCGCGGCGATCTGTTTCCTTTCTTTGATGCTCAGCTCCTCCACCCAGCTTGCTCATACGCCGTCGTCTGCCACCCCTGCTGCACGCATCGCGCGCCGTTCTTCCCTCGTGGTGGACTTCACTAGTGACGCCTTTTGACGGTTCGGCGTACTAATTCTAATTCCCTGACACCGGAGTTTACGCCGGGGGCTTTTTTCGGGGGGCTCTCAGGCACTTTGGATTCGAGACACACGCATATGTTTTGTACCCTTTGCCTAGTTTTCTTCGTCTGAGGTTGTGTATTTTACATTCTCTCATCGACGCACCTTTCGTACGCCCTCACTCCGAGCTTTCCGACTCTCGCGATTGGAGTTGAGAGAGGAATTCGCAGAACTAGCTGCGCCTTCTCGAGCTTCGTGTCGAGGCTTTTCTCCCCTTCCCGCCCTTCAAATCACAACGTCATTCACCTCCACACAACCGCTTAGACAGTAGCCACAATGTGTTTTGGCGGCCGCAGCAAAGCCGACGAGGATGTCGCCCGGTCACGAGAGCTTGACAAGGCCATCCGCGCCGACGAGAAGCGCATGTCGCGCGAGGTCAAGCTTCTGCTGCTCGGCGCCGGCGAATCCGGCAAGTCCACTGTCCTGAAGCAGATGAAGCTCATATACGCCAAGGGCTTCAGCAAGAACGAGAGGCTCGAGTGGAAGCCTGTCGTTTTCAACAACATTATCCAGTCCTTCCGCCTCATCTACGATGCCATGGCCGAGCTGGACATTGGGTTTTCCGACCCGGAGAACGAAAAGAACATTAAGCAAATTCTCGTCGAGTTCGAGCTGGGCGCCAACGACCCGCTACCCACCGACTATCTCGAGCCCATCAAGACGCTGTGGAAGGACGATGGCGTCCGCCGCGCAATTGCAAAAGGCAACGAGTTTGCTCTGCACGACAACCTGGACTAGTAAGTTTGAGCTGCCCGGTGTCGTCTGTCACCTATGTTTGAGTGTTTCCTTGTGCTTTGCTTTTCGTGCTTTTCGTGCTGACATGAGCAGCTTCTGCGAGGACCTTGACCGCATCTGGGACCGCACCTACGTACCAAACGACCAAGATCTGCTGCGCTCGCGCTTGCGAACAACGGGCATCACCGAGACCGTCTTTGACCTTGGCCAGCTGACCTACCGCATGTTCGACGTTGGCGGCCAGCGCTCGGAGCGCAAGAAGTGGATCCACTGCTTTGAGAACGTCAACTGCCTGCTCTTCCTGGTCGCCATTTCTGGCTACGACCAGTGCCTTGTCGAGGACAAGGATGGGAACCAGATGAGCGAAGCGCTCATGCTGTGGGAGTCGATCGCCAACTCGCACTGGTTCACCAAGTCGTCTCTCATTCTCTTCCTCAACAAGATGGATCTGTTCAAGGAGAAGCTGCCCAACAGCCCCATCGCGGAGCACGGCTTCACCGACTACTCTGGCCCTGCCGCCGACCCCAAGCAAGTCAGCAAATACTTCATGGACAAGTTCCGTGCCCTCAACCGCAACCCGGACAAGGAAATCTACGGGCACTTTACCAACGCCACCGATACCAATCTGCTCAAGATCACCATGGGCTCTGTCCAGGATATGATTATTCAGCGAAATCTGAAGCAGCTCATACTATGATCTCTGAGCGTCAACAACACAAAAAGGGAACCTTTCTTCATGGAAGCAGCACGACAAGATGGCTGCAGTGCCTCCATCTACCTTTCTACTCCCCGACTCCAATTCCCTTCCGCCACGCTTCCCTACCCTTTCTTTCATCCTTCTCGAATCTCGGCGCCGAATACCCGACCCGCGCATAGCCTGTGTCCTGTCCGCTATACACAATGCCAACAGACAGGGCCATTCTCGCCGTTGCTTGTGGCGCTCACTTTTACCGTCTTTCTGTCCCCGAATTGTTCTTAGAGGAGATGCCGCGCACGTATTTACTATACGTTGCGAAAAAAGGAACGACAGATGAGACCGCATCGTATCCTTTGTCGGGGAGCATCTCTACCTGCTGTCTTATCCGTGGCCACTTGCCTTCCAAAAAGTCCTCATTTTCAGCCCGCCATCATTTGTACATTTTTCGCTCTCGTTTTTTGTTGCATATTTTGGGTTTTGCTTCTGGTGAAGGCTTGTCGCCCTTCGTCAGCACGGCTTCGTCACCTTTTGTCGACACCCCGAACAGCGTGCTCTGTGTGGCAATATCAACGACACAGAAAATGCTTTGCCTTCGAATTTTCTATTCTCGAATGATACCTTACCTTGTCGCTTTATTTATAACGCTTTTTATATTGCCTGCCTTTTCTTTTCGGTTGGCTTACAGCTCTCATACAAGCCGCCATCGTCGACATATCCCCCACCACCCATTCACATACACATTTGGCTACATCGACGACATGATTATGATTGTCCCTTTCGTCCCTATTTTTCTTCTGTTCTTGTTCTTATTGTCGCGTATATTTTAGTGGTCATAAATGACTGTCCAAATATATATTTGCACTTTGTATCCTTTTCTATAAGTAGCCGCTTTTGGAGATGGGGCCCCAATCTGGAGATAAGAAGAATGAGCAAAAAAAAATCAAAATCACTTTCAATACAAATGGACCGCTGGTGAAAGCGCACACCACTTACACAAACAACGAGTGGCGTTTAGATTAAGACAGTTTTATGAACCCGGATAGCCACGTTTTTTCTGTTGGGCCCCCAACTTGACAGCTGGTTCAACAGCCAATCGCCTCACAGTTGCAAGGAATACCCTCTTTTTCTGCTATCTGCTGTGCGGGTTGCCGCATAGAGGTGTGACGAGATGCTTTGATTTGGATGTTCCACGGACTGATGAACGGTTGCACAACGCACAGCGTCTCTCCCATAGGCAGTGAATAAAACAATGACCTGACCTACTGAACGCCATGTTTCGTTCTGTACGACAGTTAATTACTCCGCGGTAGCGTTCCTCTCGCCATTCCTCCTTCCACAAGCTGTTTAATATTCCAAATTCCAAACAGGATCCAACACTTTTTGATATCGAGGATCGACAACCTTTTCTTACCCACTTAAAGGCTGGCATCTGGCATGCTCCATACCATCACGCCGATCACAGCAGAAGAGAACGAAAACAAGAAGATCGACTGCCGGTCACAGTTCTGAAGCCCTAATAACGGGTAAAGGACAGGGGGGGCTGCCCGGATGACAATCGATTCTAGCTTTCATTGACCCCGATAGCGTCTTCTTTTTTTCATTCTCCGTGCGTTCATTTCGCAATTTCGCAGGAACAATCTCGTTCAGTGGGGCGTTTGCCTGTGGTTCACGTACGGGCACCCAAGACAAGTGAAGATGGAAAAGGCGAAAGTAATTGTCCGGTAGGATTGTACGCGAGGTAAGCAAAGTAAAGAAAAGATAATATTATTAATTAATTATTCGTAACGAACAAGAAAAACGAAGGACCTGCTCGTAGCACGACCGATGACATGAGAATATCGGACATAAATTTCATGAGGCATTAAATGAACATTAGTAATATTTGGAACCACTCCACCACCTCTATGTCGTTAATGTCTCCGCTGTGCTTGGAAGCTTTTTGTATTCCAAGAAACACAAAACATTGCAGCGCAGTGATTTGGATACAAATCTGGAAGAACATGGGTGGCTTTATTCCTTCGATTTGGCTGACTTGGGCTTTGTCGTCGCCTTTGTATTAGAGGGCTACGTTACGTAAGAGAGAGCACAAAGTATCTTCAATTTCAAGCTACCTGTCATGGCACAACCGTCATGGCTCAAGTTGAGCCGCGTATCAGGCCCGGAGACTTTTTACGAATTGCACGAGACGTGCTTACCAAAGAGGCTGTGGCACTCCACCTGGCGGACACATTTCTGCAGCCTTGCAATAGAGGTCGGCCATTTGTGTGCGGCCTAGGCCGATTTCCCCAACTGGATTTGTTTTTTGTGGATAGTGGAGGCCAGTCGAGTGCATGCAAGCCAATTGGTAGGATTTTGCTTCTTCTCGTTGCCTGTTCATGACATGACAAATTTTGCCGTGAAGAGAGGGCGGGTTAGCCTACGCATCTATGACGGTTTCCGGCGATGGAGGAGCGAAACGTATAAAGGTCGCGGACAAGTCGGAGGACTGGACATGCTGTCTCGTCTCGATACCGCAACAGCTTTTCCGTACTCCATCGCCACCAACACACGCCCGTGTCCCGCTTCCCGTTTACGCTACCATTCTTTCTGCGGCCATGGTCAAGGTCGTCGTCACGGGCGCCAACTCGGGCCTGGCCCTCGAGGTCATTGACGCCCTTGTCGAGGGCAAGCACGAGGTCCTGGCTTTGGTCCGACGGGTAGGTCAAAAAGATAGGCACAAAGAGACGCAGAGAGACAGATCCTGCTCCGGAATGACTGCTGACGTCCACGCCAGGACCCCTCGTCGTTCCCCCAGCAGCCCGGCGTGACCTGGGCGCAGACGTCGTTCAAGGACAAGGATGAGCTCGTCCGGTTGTTCCGGGGCGCCGATGCGGTGCTCAACTTTATTGTGCTCAACAGCGACCCGGGCAACGAGGTGGCGATCCGCGTCATCGATGCCGTGGTCGAGGCCGGCGTGCCGCGCTATGCGCCGAGCGAGTGGGCCATGTAAGTTTGCTGCATGCACAGCTACGGGGAACGTCGACACTCACATCTATTTGCAGGGGCACCAAACTCAAGGACATCATCAGCGCCGTGCCGTTTTACCAGGGCAAGCTCGACGTGCAGAAGTACCTCGCCGACCTCAACAAGGAGAAGAAGGTGCTCGAGTACAGCCTCTTCCACGTCGGCTTCTTCTTCGAGTACGCCGCGTACCCGCGCGCCCTCAGCAAGCACGTGCGCCCCATAGCCACCAACTGGCAGCTCAACGACGCCCGCCTCGTCAGCGTCAAGGGCTACGAGCACGACAAGGTGACCTTCACCCGCGTCCGCGACATTGCCCGCGTCGTGCGCGGCGCCGTCGAGTACCAGGGCGCGTGGCCCGTGGTGGGCGGCATCCGGGGCGCGGACATTTCGGCGACGGAGTTCAAGGCCGCCGTCGAGGCCAAGCTGGCCGCGGGCAAGGGCCCCGGCATTCTGCCCCCCGGCACGCGGACGCTCCGGGTCGACCTGGCCGACGAGGCCGTCCTGGCGCAGGGCAAGCTCGACCTGGCGATGCCCAAGCTCATGCACCCGTCGATCCCCGACGACCTGCGCGACCAGTGGCACGCGCCCGTCTGGTCGGGCTCGCTGCTGGCGACGGCGCGCGGGGCCTGGAACGCCTCGGACGAGTGGAACCAGCTGCTGCCGGACATCAAGATGAGCACGGTCGACGACTTTATCGAGGCTATACTGGCGAATGAGTAAGTGTGGAGTGGGGGGGGGGGCCGTTGGTGGGTGGAGGACTTTGACGACGTGAAAGCATCACTTGTGCCGCAGTGAAAGGTCGTAGCAAATCAAATTTTATTTTCGTAAATTTATGTGTGAAATACTGCATGAGCTAGAGGTTTTTTTTTTTTTTAATTGGCTGGACATTTGTCTACTGTGGCGCAATAACCGTGTAACTAAATCGTATTGCCGACATGGATCACACCCCTTTGGAAACAATTCCCGCCTGCACCACCTCATGCACCGTAAAGACCAACAGACAGTCCGGCAAAAGGTGGCGCTTGGATGATTGGGATGTCTTGTAAAACCAACAGACACAAACGAACGGCAATTCACGACAACCAGCGACAACACGGCCGGTCGGATGCCTTTCCAATCACACAAACAGTTGCGAAAGAGGACGGGACGGCATGACATGCACGGCGAGGTGCAGTCAGGCAAGGGAGAAAGAAGTAAAAAAAGAAAAGAAAACAGGCATCCAACGCCACACCACAAATGCAACGCAAAGGACGCACCAACAAGGCTCGGCGGCTATTTCAGAGGCTCGAATTGGTTCGCATCGGTGCACAGGATATTGGGGGCTGAATGGGGGCGACAAAGGTGGAAAAAGGGCATGGATGAGCCCAAGTTTTGCCCAAGCTGTGTGAGCGTCGTACCTGGTCCATTCCCTTCTTTGAGCGGTCCCCTTGCCGTTTGTCGTGTCTCCCGCCCAATGACATGAAGCGACGGCATATTGCGTCGACATCTTACACTTTTGCGCCCAGCACTCTCTGGATGCTCTCTGCACTCGCAGCGCCCACGTTTCGCACCTCGGCGTCTTGACGGTTGGACGCAACTGTCTGTTGGATGCACTCTGCACTCTGTCTGTTGGGCCATGCTGTCGCTTCCGCTTCTGTCAACGAGGCTCGTACTCTGTACTCTGGCGATATAAGATGCGTCAAGGAGCGCGCCTTGGCACGCGGTTGTTTGCTTCTGTACGGTGTATTCTCTGTGCTGTGTATTTGTGTGTTCTCAGGATTCTCCTCTGAGACTGACGCTCAACTCGACGCTTGACCATTTTGAGTCCAAGTCCAACATCTGCATCGCATCGCCACTTTTTTTGTTTCCTGTTTCCTCGTACTCGTCTGTCTGCCTCTCACCATGCCGCCAAAATCGCCCCTGTCACCCAAGTCGACCATGTCCTCCCGGTACACGCCGCACCCGTATTCGCCCTCCTCGCCCGCCGGCCTGTACGGGGCCTCGCCGGCCCGCAAGCAAAAGACGAAGCGGTTTTCGTGCGGCACCGTCCTCTACGCCGTGTTCTGCCTGCTCGCGCTCGCGACCAGCATCCCCATTGTCGTCTTTGCCGGCCGGCTTCTCCACAGCTGGCCCGACTATTTCCACAAAGCCGCCGGCATCCCCTTTGCCGGCGGGCTCATTGCCGTGGCGGCCGATCTCTGGGCGGTGGTGTTCTTTGCCCAGCGCCACCGTGCGTTCTTGGTCGCCGTGCCGCTCGACCTGCTCTCTGCCGTCCTCGGCGCCATTGGCATCTTCTCGCTCCTGCAGGCCGGGTTTAACAACGCCAGCCAGCCCTTGACGGACGCCCAGGCAGAGCTGGCGACGAGCTGGTCCGCCGACCAAGACTTTGGCATCATCTTCTCGGGTCTCTTATGGTGAGTAGTGGGGGAAGGGGGGGGGGGGGGGGGGAGGGTACAAAGTAGTAAAGGGGAAGTGGAGGAGTGGTAGTGACGACGGTGTCTAATGATCGTGGAGTCGTTTGGTCGTAACTACTGGTCGAGCGGCGTCCGTGCCTTCTCCCTCTTTGTCAACAGCGTCCTGTCGTGTCTCATCTTTTCGCGGAGCCTTCGTCATGAGCCCACCACAGTCCAGGCGTACAGTTCGACGGAGCTCTACTAGACGTTGCCGGCGCTTTCTCTCGTCCTTTACGGATAATCCTCGGATGATCAAGGGCTTCGTGTCGCCCGGTGTCATCGTCAGAGTTCCTCTTCTTGTCGTCTCCGCCGTCTTTCCCCTCATTTTCTCATCAAGATTCGGTCCTTTTCTTTTCTTGTGCGTGGTCGGTTTTGTTCTCCTTTGGTACGGTCTGCATGTGTTTTGCCCGGTTTTGGCCCTACTTGCTCGCGTTATTCTGCAAACTCGTCTGCTCCGGATGCTGAGGTTGTGGAACTCGGCTTGGGACTATCCCACAATGGATCAAGGAATGGCTCTGGAAGAGTCTGGATGCTACTGTCGCACAGCCATGTGTGTTTGCTATCCTTCGGATGTATCGCCAGGGCACTCTCATGCCGATTATTCCTAGCCTCGTTTACCCACTTCCCTTCTGCAATGTTTACCAATCTGTTCGTCATGCCGTTCATGCTCTCCTCGTTTCCCGGCAGTCGTAAGTCATGTCGATCCCTCTGTGCATCTGTGCATCTGTGCCGCTGGCCGTTTGCCGTCGTCACTACCGATCGCAGCTCTCCACGATTTCGGAGCCCACTCGGCGGCAATGGAGGTTGCAGTCCGTGCGGAGCGTGCCATACCACGTCGCGGCATCCGAAGTGGTCAAGGACGAAGACGTAAAACGCGATCAAACTCGCCGCAGATTCCCGTCTCCACGTGCGGACAAGCAACGGCAACTCCCACTAACACCCACTCTACCCGCCAACTTCCGTGTTAGTGTCTTAGAGTGCTGCCAATGCTTAATGCGTCTGGCCGTTCTAGGGACATATTTGGCCGGCTTGGCCTTGCCTAAACAGAACGTAGCGCCCGCCTGTAGCAGCCGCTCCAGCCTACGGGTCAACCATAAGCTCCCAGAGCCCCCCTATTAAAGGCTCTTATTCCCCGCAAATAGAACGGCCGCGGTGTTACTGTACCCCATGTGTAAGTCGCGCCTTCCCAAAATGTCTGTTTACCCTTTCGGAAGTATCCCCCAGGAAGATCAGGAAGGAGCCTCCATAGCTGTCCAAAGAAGGAGCGGCTGATGTCCGGTGGCGCCGCCCAATACTTGCTCTATTTGGCTATTACGAGTCGTCTCAATGATCCATTTGGTCCTTACGTCGTAATACTGATTCTATTGACCCAGCAACATCCCGAGCCAAGTTTTTTCTCAAAGCAAACCTGCAAAATAGGACGAAAAAACAAGTTGAAAAAATACGTGCAACCAGCCGAAGCTTGCAATTCGCAGTAGGCAACCCATCGCTCTTGCAGCTTTGGTGTCTTTGATCTTTCGCGCCTTCTGATCTCGAAAAACAACGGAACTAGCTCGGTGGTTCTTCCCTTTTATGCTTTTTCCCTTTCCTCCATTCTCAGTATCGCTTTCCTCGTCGTATGACACAGAATCGGCGCATCGACTTCCGTATCCACAATCAACCCCTCACCGCGACTTCCTCTTTACAGCGGACGGCGAGCTGCAGCTGCATCGGGCCTTCCAAGGTGGTTTCTTTGTTCAAGCTTGGGAGCTTCTTGCCTAATCGGTTTCTGCAATTTCTTGGCCTGCCGCTCTTTCCTACTTAATGCTCGCGCATCTCCAGCCAAGTTGCAAGACCGAGACACAACAGAGACACAACAGAGACACAGGACAAAAAAGGTCAAGCTCCGGTCTAGACTTTAAGCTTTATTTACACATTCCAGCTGCCTTGTTTTCTGCCCCATCTTTACCCCAGACCCAGACTGCGGCTTACGTACTGGTCTCTTCTGAAGGTACATCATTTCATCACCTTCGCCACCTCCAACAAATCGCGATAAGAGAGGCGCTGCAAAACATCACGACTTTGGCAAAGGCGTTTGAAACGGCAGTCAAGCAAACAGCCATTCCCTCACGCTGCTACTCACGCAAGATGGCTACGCCACATGACACTACTCTGCCCTCCTCGAGCGAGAAGCGCCCATTGGACGACCACACGTTCCCTGGCCAGACTCCGGCGTCGCCAGCCCCCGACAAGACCAGTTGACTAGCCGGCCAGCGTGCGCAGCTGCCGCTCCTGCGCACACAGCGAGGCCTTGCTTTCACGGTGCTCTCCGTCTTGCTCATCGTTGGCGGTAGCCTGTCCCGTCTTGCGTCCCTGGGCAGCCACAACCATGGCAGCGATGGCGGCAATGGCAGTCTCCTCCGCACACGCGACGGCAATGCCACTGCTGTCCCGGGCCTCATCACCGACGACACGTACTTTTATGGCGACTCCCCGCCCGTCTATCCGTCGCCCGACATGACGGGTGTTGGCACCTGGGCTGTGGCGTACAACAAGGCCGTCGCGCTCGTCTCGCAAATGACGCTCGAAGAAAAGGTGAACCTGACCGCCGGCGTCTCGTCCGGCACGGGCTGCTCGGGCACCATCCCGGGCGTGCCCCGTCTCAATTTTACCGGCATGTGCCTGAGCGACGCCGGCAACGGCCTGCGCAGCACCGACTTTGTCAGCGCCTGGCCCAGCGGCATCCACGTGGGCGCCAGCTGGAACCGCACCCTGGCTCGGCAGCGCGCCGTCGGCATGGCCGGCGAGTTCAAGAAGAAGGGCGTCAACGTGATGCTGGGCCCCGTCGTCGGCCCCGCCGGCCGCACCGTGCGCGGCGGCCGGTACTGGGAGGGCCTCTCGGTCGATCCGTACCTGGCGGGTGCGCTGGTGTACGAGACGGTGACGGGCACGCAGCAGACGGGCGTGATTACGAGCACCAAGCACTACATTGCCAACGAGCAGGAGACCAACCGCCTGCAGTCGGTGCAGTCGGGCGACGTGCAGTCGGTCTCGTCCAACATTGACGACCGCACCATACACGAGCTGTACCTGTGGCCGTTCCAGGACGCCGTGCTGGCCGGCTCCGGCAACATCATGTGCTCGTACAACCGCGTCAACAACTCGTACGGCTGCGCCAACAGCAAGACGCTCAACGGCCTGCTCAAGACGGAGCTCGGCTTCCAGGGCTTCGTCGTGACGGACTGGGGCGCGCAGCACGCGGGCGTCGCGTCCGCCCTCGCCGGCCTCGACGTCACCATGCCCAACAGCGTCCTCTGGGGCGACAACCTCGTCAATGCCGTCAAGAACGGCTCGGTGCCCGAGTCGCGCGTCACCGACATGGCCACCCGCATCGTCGCCGCCTGGTACCAGATGGGCCAGGACACCGGCATTCCCGCGCCCGGCATCGGCATGCCGGCTGACCTGACCCGCCCGCACCCCATTGTCGACGGCCGCGACCCGGCCTCGAAGCAGACGCTCCTGGACGGCGCCGTCGAGGGCCACGTGCTTCTCAAGAACAGCAACCACGCGCTGCCTCTCCAGACGCCCAAGTTCCTGTCCCTCTTTGGCTACTCGGCCCGCGCGGCCGACCAGAACAACTACGAAGGCAGCGTCTCGGCCTGGGAGTTTGGCGCCGAGGCCGCCAACATCACCGACATCCTGGCGGGCTTCCTGGGCAACCCGAACCCGCATCCGCTCGGCATCGCACCCAACGGCACGCTCTTCTCCGGCGGCGGCTCGGGTGCGAACTCGCTGACGACCGCCAGCGCGCCCTTTGACGCGCTGACGCAGCGGGCCTGGAGGGACGGCACGCAACTGTTCTGGGACTTTACCGAGCAGAATCCGAGCGTCAACGCCGTGTCCGAGGCCTGTCTCGTGTTCGGCAACGTCTGGGCCACCGAGTCGATCGACCGTCCGGCTCTGTCGGACGACTACACCGACCAGCTGATTGCCAACGTGGCCAGCAAGTGCAGCAACACGATTGTCGTCTTGCACAATGCCGGCGTGCGCATCGTCGACGCCTGGATCGACCACCCCAACGTGACCGCCCTCCTCTTTGCGCACCTGCCGGGCCAGGCGTCGGGCGAGGCCCTCGTGTCCCTGCTGTACGGCGACGCCAACCCGTCGGGCAAGCTCCCCTACACCGTGGCCAAGCAGGCCGCCGACTACGGCGCCGTGCTCGACCCGGACCTGCCTGAGGGCGTCTTTGGCCTCTTCCCGCAGGCCAACTTTACCGAGGGCGTGTTTGTCGACTACCGCCACTTTGACGCCCACAACATCACTCCGCGCTACGAGTTTGGCTTTGGCCTGTCGTACACGACCTTTGGCTTTGCCAATTTGGCCATCCAAAAGGCGACGCCCGTGTCGGGCGCCGAGACCAATCTGTTTGCCGAGTACCCGACAGGCGCCGTGCGGCAAGGCGGCCAGGCCGACCTCTGGGACCGGCTAGTCACGGTGACGGCCGACGTGCAGAACACGGGCAGCGTGGCCGGCGCCGAGGTGGCGCAGCTGTACGTCACGCTCCCCGGGGCAGGGGCAGGGGCAACGGCGGATGGTGCCGCCATCCCTGTCCGTCAGCTCCGCGGCTTCGACAAGACGCTGCTGGCGGCCGGCGAGACGGCCCAGGTCACGTTTGCCCTGACCCGCCGCGACCTCAGCTACTGGGACGTCGTGGCACAAAAGTGGCGGCTGCCGGCCGGCACCTACACCGTGCGTGTCGGCTCCAGCAGCCGCAACCTGCCGCTCACAGGGACGTTTACCATTGAGGGTGGGTTGAGCTAACATGGAAGCATCTCTGTATGTCTTGCTCTTCTTGCATACGTCTGTAGTGTTTTTACATGATGAAATGATTGTTTCTGTTTCTGTTTGCTTTTTTTTCTCCCCTTTTTTTGGTTACTCTGCTACGTTTCAAGCCCTCTTGCCTCGTTCGCATAGGACACATAATTT